ATCGATAACGCGTGGCAATTGCTATCTCGCTCTCGCTCTCCTTTATCTTTCGCCTCTGCTTCTGCTTCTACCAGTCAGCCTGTTGCGGTTTTATCTCGTTGTCATTTGATCGCCTTTTTGATTTTTCAAGTTTGAGCTGGTTTTTATTTATTTTCTGGTTTTGAGTGTGTATTTTTTTTCTTCTTCTTCATCTGTTGTGAAAGTACATAAAAGGCATGTTAGCTTTATTTTTATTTTAGAAAGGCAATTGGCGACATTTTTGCAACGTCAACATGTTGCTGTTGCCAGGCTGCCATCTTGTATCTGCGCCAGTTTTCATTTAGGCTCTTTTTTGGCATTAACAGTTCTGCTCGCTGAGGTGTGCAATAGCAACGCATGAGTTATCATTGTTGTTGTATTATGTAAATTTTGCCTGTATTGGAAAAATGCTGCAAAAACCGTGTGTAAATTCGCTCGCAAGCTGCTTGGCAACATGCGCCCAAGCACAACTTGAATTCGCCCAATTATTGTCGCGACTGCAGACGCCTGCAGTGCAACTTTCTCCATGGTTCTGACATGTTCTGGCAACATAAGCGCAATTATGCAGCAACATTGTTGCTGCTGCTGCTATTGTTGTTGACATGTTGAAATGCTTGTGCGTGCGTTGCTCTCATTTTGAGCAACAAATATTTGCACAGCTCCTCCTCCTAAACCTCGCCCGCTACATTTGTCTTGTCAACATGTATATTGTTTTGCTTCCCATTAATCAGCGCTATTCGCCGTCAACATTTTCATGGCATAAAACCTGTTGCTTCTGGAAATTATGATTATTTTATTTAATTTCTTTATTTTGCCTTCTTCTGTTTTCACGTCTTTCTTTTCGAGCATTTCTTATCTTTCCGCTTCCGTTTTGAGCTTTTAAAATATTTTGTTGTTTAAAGCATTTATCGTGGCTGCTTTAAAGGCAACTCTTTTGTTGTCGGCACCCTCGACTTCCGCTGTCTGCGTCGCGTTTTCGCCAATTGCAACATGCAACATGAAATTCAATTTACATATGCATTTAAGAAAGTTGTGTTGCCCCAACTTTCACCTACGGCTTTGCCTTAGATAGTTATTCTATTTAGCTCTGGTTTTTCCTGTTGTTTACTTAGAATTAACTGAGAGTTGACTTTGCTTCAATCTCTGTCCATAATTATTATTATATAGCATCTACACGTGCAGCTGTCATAATCCGCCCACACATATAAACTGTCAATAGCTGTTATCTCTTGAATTGCAATTACAAAAATTATGGGAGAGCTTTAATTACTTTGCTGGCCCAGTCGAGAGCAACAACAGTAATATAAACCCAAGCCGATAACCGATAACCGATAATGAGCGAGGGCAAGCGATAACTCGCACTAGTCACTGTTTTATATTACTTACAGGAAAACCGGGAATGTGCTGGAACGCAAATATGCCAGAGCTGATAAATGGGTAAACAAATATAGCCTTTGAATAGCTTAAGCAATAGTCATTCCTAATTTATCGAAGATCGCTCTTATTGCTATAGCCAATACATAGCTATATCTTTCTGCTAGATACATAAAAATGTGCATGTAGAAGATAAACTCTTGTTTTTAACCTGAGCCCACTGATTAGGGGATTTCAAAATAACAGCGTTGGTTTCCGGGTATCTCCCGAGTCGGACATTCCGACTAGAGCACTCTTAGCATAGTAAAGCCAAGACTATACACATAGGTCCATATCACAGGAAGGTAATATGCGGATTACAATATACTTGCTCCTAAACGCTTCCATAAATTCCCATCAAATTTCAATTACGAGAAAACATCTCATATATAACTTGCGCCTAGCAGCCTCCCGATATCATTAGCACACAAAAGTTTCCTTATATAAGCAAGAGAGGGGCAAGAGAGGGGAGCGAGAGTTTCGCTTTTGTTCTCTATAGCAGCTACCGTTACGTTCAACACCCGCATAACACGCCCCTTGCTTGATGCCGCTTCTCGTCGTCGCTTTACACTCTGTTGAGTCGCGATTTATGCAACAAGCTGCGGCTAAGGCAAACGGCAAAAGGCAAGCAACAACAACAACAACAACAACGACAACCGTAACGTTTCGTTTTTGTTTGCCAAAACTGCGTCACGTTGCAAGTGGAGAGCGGGTGGGTGAGAGGTAGCAACTGCAACTGCGGCAGAGATTTGCGTAAGCGAATTCGATTTATTGTGCAACTCAACAATAAATATGCAAATAGATGTCAAACCGTTGGACGAGCGGGGCTAGACACGTAACTTGTTGCAGCGGGTGGCGTACAGCATACAGCATGCAGCATGCAGCATACAGCATGTGACATGTGGCAGCGCCACGTGAACCAAAGATTTCGTTATACAAAATCCTCGGTAAGTCCTTGGCCATTGGCGTTCGCCTTGGCTGCTTGCAGCCTTCAGTCAGGCAGCGGGGCGGGTAGGCGATTAGGTGGTTCGGTGGTTGGGCGCTTGACTCAATTTGTACGATTGTCCGACATTTGACCTTGGGAGCAAATACTGTTGCTGCTTGAATACGCCTTATGCTTGACAGTTATGTCAAAGGACAGATAGTTACAAGGCTATACTGAACAGATCAGTTATAGCTGATAAATCGATATCGATATCGATATCAAATAGATGTCTGTTAGAACTTTAGCTCATAAGAACTTAACTAATTACAATTTGTCAATATGAAGACTCTTCTTTATTAGCATTTCTGATATGTGGAAATCGATAAGTTAGCTTTCGATAGTTATCCATTTCTACATAAATATTGAGAATTGAGTTGTAAATAATTTAAATTGTGTTCAAATGTCATATTCTGGCACATCAAAAGCCAAAAAACCTTTCAGTTATCGACAACTCGTAAATCGATAAAAGTTGATTTAATGAAATATAAATAAAAATCGGTTGAGTTTTATAAAAGAGAGTTACTTTATAGTATTTACGTGATCAAATTTTATTTTGTGATAGCTTTTTCCACAGATGTTATTGATTGTCAGTTATTTATCGATAAATATCGATTTACATACAAAAGTGCTCAAATTGCAGTTGTGGCTGAATAGTTCACACTCTCTTATATTCTTAGTTAATGCATTAGCTTAGTACAGGGTATATATTAGGCAATTTAGAAGCTTTGTCCATTTGAAGTTAACCTTTCAGTTTCAATTTGGCTCTTCGAATTGTGCGCTATTCCTCATCGGGCTTTGCATAATTTATTGCATTTAGTTTTCACTCGCTGCGCCATAAATTTTCAGGCACATTCAAATGTTGTTCGCCTCGCTCTCGCAGCTGCCACGCCCCCTGTTTGTATAGGACATTGGCATCGCGTGTGTCCTCAAATTTCGTTTTGATTACAACTCGCAGTCGCATTTTGTGTCCGGCTGATGGTAGAAGCCGCAGGCCAAGTTGGCACCCGCCACGGCTGCCCTTTGCCCTCCCCCTTGCCCCTTGGCCCTGCCTCTGCTCCTTTGAACGACCTTCAGCTGGTTGCTATAGAATTTCCCAGGCTTCGCCTTGCCTCCCTCGCGATATAGAAAATTCTTTTTATTTTCCGTGTTTTCTCGTCGTCCTGTGCTATTTTTATGTCTTTTTCTCTCGCATTCGTATCGAATGTCCTCTGACGCAAATTAATTAAATTATGTAATAAGCGGGGCGGGTGGGCGCCATGATCCTACTTAACCAGTTCTAAATTTAGCTGCAACAAGACAGAAGTCAACGATGTCTAATATGAGATAATTACTGAGGCGAGGTGGTAAGGGCAATGGGTGTGCAGAAGGAAAGGAACGAGCATATTGTGTGAAAGGCCAGGAATTATCATGAATGAAGTAATTGGCGCTGAACTTTGACCTATGGACACTAATAAGGAATGCAGCTGTTGCGCACTGGCGAAGCTCTAACTGGAACGCTCAGTAATTGAAATGTTCGAAATGGCTTAGAAATCAATAAACCACCGACATGCATATAAACTGGCATTGCTTACATTGATACTATGAATTAGATATATCTTTACAGCTGAACTATAGCCACAATTCAGACGATTGTAGCCTAGCTCTTCTGGCTGCTTCTAATTAGAAATTAGAAACGTTGTTTAGAGGTAAATGTAAATATAGATGCATTGACAGATTGATAATATAATAAGAATCGGAAACTGATCTGATGTGATATCTGCATCTCTTCCTCTTTATACTCGCTCATGAAATGAAAGGAGTATATTGCATCGCGCCATGGTGTGGGGGTGTGGCAGTATCTTCAAGGCGTTTGTAGCCCTAAAACTTGAGTTCTAAACGTTTTATGCACTCAAACTAAGTTGGCGTATTTAATTTAGTCAAATGTATAAGTATGTCTGTATTATATATAGATACATATGTGTGTATATGCGTATGTGTATATATATATATATATATATATATATATATATGTATGTATGTATATATATGTATGTATGTATATACATACCTGCATAGCAACATGATGACTCTGAGATACCTGCAGCCATGGTTGAAGATCTGCCTGGGTAAATATCCTATATACACAATATATATACAGATGAGCTTCCTTATGGCGCATATATATGTATTGCACATATATATAGGTGTCTTTATTCAGGTGAAATAGCTTTATTTCAATTATAATCATTGTGACTTGTCAGCCATATTTGCGACTGTTTCAATTGGCCAAAATGCGCGTTTGCAATTCGTGTCGTTTTCTTTGTCAGCTCTGACAGAGATATATGTGTGTATATATATGCTATATATATGTGTGTATGTATGTAGTCTGTAACGGTGTCTGGTCTGCCGTGAGCTGCGCGCTGCTCGCAGTTAACAATTGCCTGAGCTGTTGCACAGTTTGCGCGGCTCGAGGAGAATTTCAAAGAAAACATTGGGGAAAATGTTATCCTCGGTTATTAGGCGTTTACTAAGAAGAGGTTGTTGCAACTAGAGAGACACTTTTTTCATGTATTCCATATAATATGTTTGTTTTCTCTAATTTCAGATTGCGATTGCGGCTGCGTGGACTCGTACAACGGCGGCAGCGTTGAGTTGCGGCACGACCAGGCGCAGGCAGCGGCAGTGGCAGCGGCAGCAGCAGCAGCAGCAGCAACAGCAGCAGCAGCAGCCGCTCATAATATTGTGAGCAATAGCAGCAGCAGCAGCGGCGGAGGCGTCAACGGCAACGGCAACAGCAGTGGCAGCAGCAGCCTCAAAACGGCGCACGCTAAGGTTGCCACATCGGGGGGCCATGCCAATACGCAGCCCCCCAGCAAGCGCTCCAGCAGCGGAGCCGATGGCGACTATCAACTGGTGCAGCACGAAGTGCTCTACTCGCTGTCTGCGGAATATGAGGTGCGTACACATAGTACAGTTCCAATACAAGTGAACTAGTGTACTGGTTCAGTGATCATGAACTAAGTATATATATATATATATATCGATCAGGCTGATGCATGCTCTGATCAATATGTATCGCTAAGGATTAACTGAACAGTAGATTTGTTTCACATACTAGTTCATTAAAGTGAACTAGTGAACTTGTTCAGTGATTGAATAATACTCTAGTTCATGCGTTCAAAGTGCATGATGCTCTTTAAATCAGGATTAACTGAATAGTATTTGTTTCATTTAGTAGTTCATTAAAAGAACTAGTGAACTGGTTCAGTGATTTATGAACAATCCAGTGCAGTTGATCAACTTGAATTGAAATTGACTAAAAACTAGAGGTGTTCCATTAATAATACGATAAAAATGAACTAGTCAACTTTGAACTATGAACTTGTTCAATGAACTGAACTAGAACTAGTCATGAACAATTGATTAATTGATCTAAATAAATCATTTATGATGGCTTATGAACTGCTGAACTAATTGAACTGACTCATCTTTACTGACTCTTTTCAGGTCCTGGAATTTCTGGGTCGCGGCACCTTTGGCCAGGTGGTCAAGTGCTGGAAGCGCGGCACTTCCGAAATCGTCGCTATCAAAATCTTAAAGAATCATCCATCGTACGCGCGTCAAGGCCAGATTGAGGTCTCGATACTGTCGCGGCTCAGCCAGGAGAATGCGGATGAGTTCAATTTTGTGCGCGCTTTCGAGTGCTTTCAGCATAAGAATCACACCTGCCTGGTCTTCGAGATGCTCGAACAGAATCTTTACGACTTTCTCAAGCAAAACAAGTTCTCGCCGCTGCCCTTGAAGTACATACGACCCATACTGGAGCAGGTGAGACAAGCTGGAGTAGGCAAACTAATAAAAAGGCCTTTACGTAAACTCTCTTTCTCCCTTTCTGTCAGGTGTTAACTGCCCTGTTGAAGCTGAAGCAATTGGGTCTGATTCACGCCGATTTGAAGCCGGAGAACATAATGCTTGTGGACCCAGTGCGTCAGCCGTATCGCGTAAAGGTCATTGATTTTGGAAGTGCCTCGCATGTGAGCAAGACCGTTTGCAACACATATTTGCAGTCGCGCTATTATCGGGCACCAGAAATTATCTTGGGTCTGCCGTTCTGCGAGGCCATCGATATGTGGTCGCTGGGCTGTGTGGTTGCTGAGCTCTTTCTGGGCTGGCCACTGTATCCGGGCAGCTCTGAGTTTGATCAGATCCGCTACATATCGCAAACACAGGGCCTGCCCACGGAGCACATGCTGAACAGCGCCTCGAAGACGTCGAAGTTCTTCTATCGAGACGTGGACTCCACGTATCCATTTTGGCGCTTGAAGACCACCGAGGAGCATGAGGCGGAAACGAATACGAAGAGCAAGGAGGCGCGCAAGTATATTTTCAATTGCCTGGACGACATTGGGCAGGTGAATGTGCCCACGGACCTGGAGGGCGGGCAGCTGCTGGCCGAGAAGACGGACCGTCGTGAATTCATTGATCTACTCAAGCGCATGCTAACCATTGATCAGGAACGACGGCTCACGCCAACGGAGGCGCTGAATCACAGCTTCACGCGGCTCACCCACCTGGTGGATTATGTCTATTGCAACAATGTTAAGGCCTCGGTGCAAATGATGGAGGTGTGCCGACGTGGCGATTTCCATACGTGAGTAGACAGGCAGACTGCTGCTGCTCTTCTTAATGTTAGGTATTTGCTTACACTTTCTCCGTTTTTTTGTTCAGCGTACAACCTGCTCCCACGTTGGTGACCAACTTTGTGCCCAGCAGCACGGAGAACATGACCTTCACCATCAACAATCAGCTGACCAGCCAGGTGCAGCGCCTAGTGCGCGATGGCCGCCCACTGGCCTACGAGGGCCTCTATCAGATCTATGGCGGTCGCAATGTGGCACGACAGTATCCACAGGCGCGCACCGATACGTTCCAGCATCAGCTGGTGTCCAACATTCTCTGTCCGCCCTCGTATCAGGCCATGCCCAGTCCCACCAAGCATGTCGTTGTGGGCAGTGCCACGATGCAGCCGCCGTTGCAGGTGCCGCCGCAGCAATATGTCAATGTGCCCGTGCCCGTGTCCATGGTGGAGCCCAGCTCCGGGCAGCGCATGCTGCTCACCAATCGTGTGCAGGCCAGCGGCGTGGCCTGGCCGCAAACTGGTCGGCAGATGGCTCTGGTGCCATCCTGGCCGCAGCAGGCGCCGGCGCATTCGCTGATCGTCGACTCGACGTCGCTTTTCAATGTGGAAGAGATCTATCCAAAACATCATCTCAACTTGCCGCGCAACGATCTCAAGAAGGAGTCGCCGGCCCATCATCTAGCGTGAGTATCCTGGTTGCATTCTCTCGGTTTCAGCCGCATCTAATTCTCCCGTTCTTCCTGTAGCAAGGGCAGCTCATATCGTGTGCCGCGTCACGAGAAGAAGGAGCATCAGCAGCTGTCGCCAGTGAAGAAGCGCGTCAAGGAGAGCTCGCCGCCGCATCAGCAGCGCTATCAGCGCGCCACACACGTTTCGCCGCAGTACCACGCCCATCACAATTGCAACTACGGCGGTGGAGGAGGAGGAGGCTATGGCGCAGGCGCCGCTGGCGCCGTCGTCGCGAGCTCTGCCTCATCAGCGAGCAGTGAGTGTCGGCTAATCAGTTGGTTATGCCGCGTTATAGTCTTGTAGCTGACATTATCATCAATCATATCAGCCACTCTGAGCTGAGCATTGAGTGACCCATCCATTCTATATAGTTAACTTTGTCTGTTTCTTTCGCTTTAACTTGTGGCCCACTTGAGCAGCATTTTCTTGTTGACATTTGACAATTTTGTGTTGTATATCAAATTGTTATCTATTCAAATTAATATGTATTAAAGTTAGCTATTCCATAGCTGTTATAGCATCTAATGATATTTAATAAATTTCTCACGAATATCGGTGGGGCTACACGACATTCCTATTCATATTAGATACGAATATTAACCTTAGACAAGCATAGGCTTAATCTAAGCTAGTCTTCACTTATTAATCTGTTCATCTTTGCCTTTCAGACATTATCAATGCCAGTGGCAGCAGCTCATCGAGCTCGCATCATCATGCACCGGTGGCGCATGCTCCGCACGGCAGCAGCAGCGCCTACAACAGCGCCGGCCATCATATTGTGGTTAGCAATTGCAGTGGCAATGGCGGTGGCTCGGCCGTCAGTTATCATGGCAGCAGCCAGCCGCCGTTGCATGCGCATCAGCAGCCGCACGTGAAGCAGCCAACGATCACCATTCATGACACGCCCTCGCCGACAGCTGTCGTGGGCGATGTAATCACCATTTCGGACAGCGAGGATGAGGGAGCCGATGCAGCTGTGCAGCCAGTCAAGCAGCGTGCACACGCGCAGTCGCAGACGAGCAGCAGCCTAATGCAGCAGCAGCAGCAGCACCAGCATCCACATCAGCAGCATCCACAACAACAGCAACATCAACAGCAGCAGCAGCAGCAGCAGCCACAGCAGCACTCGAGCAATTCGCATTGCCGCAGCAGTGGCGGACAGCCGTTGCATGCGCAACATCAGGCCGTTAATTATGGTAATGCACAACACAGTTCCATGTCCAACTCGAACAGCTCCGCGAATGCCAGCAACAGCAGCAGCAGTCAACGTTTGGCCAGCAAATGTAACAGCCAGCTGGGCGGCAGTAGCGGAGCTAATCATCATAGCCATCATAGCCATCACAGTAGTCACCACAGCAACAGCCAGCCGCAACAGCAGCAACAGCAGCAGCAGCAGCAGCAGCAGCAGCAACAGCAACAGCAGCTACAGCAGCAGCATCACAGCAGCAACAGTAGCATTAACATTAACAATAACAGTAGCAGTCAGCAGCAACCGCAACAGCAGTTGCCGCCGCCTCCTCCTCACCACAGTAGCAGTAGCAATAGCAGTAACAGTAGCAATAATAATCATCATCATCATCATCATGCAGGCTCGCTGGGCGGAAGCGGAAGTGGAAATGGAAATGGCAATGGATATGCTGCTGCTGTTCTAGACAACTGCGCGCAACAGCAACAACAGCAGCAGCAGCAGCAGCAGCATCAACTGCATCAGCAACAGCAACAGACTTGCTATCAGTCAGGCGCCCACAGCAATGGCAACAACAACAGCAACAACATTAGCAACAACAACAGTCATCACACCACTTCCAATTCTGCTTCCACTTCCAACCAACAACAACCTCAACCACCTCAACCACTACACCACCATAACCATCATAGTCTACAGCTAAATCCCGCACCCATTTCCATGAATAGCACCACAATACACAACCCCTCATCCTCGTCCTCGTCCTCTGCTGCTAACCTCTGTCCCAATCCCGTAGCTGCTGCCCCTGATATTTCCTCGTCCTCCTCTGCCCCTACCACGTCTCAGTCGCATCTCAGTCGTCATAAGTCAACGCAACAACAGCACGTCCATCTAGTAATTCCATGCGTTACCGTAGGTGATCACGATCCGGAGGATGCGCGACGACGTCATCATGCAGCAGCCGCCGCAGCTCTCGCCGTGCCCACTGGCAGCAGTCCCAAGAATCATCATCATCAGCAACAGCCGCAACAACAGCAACAGCAGCAGCAGCAACATCATCATCATCACCACCAACAACCACCGCCGCCGCCGCAGCAGGTGCAGGTGCAGCCGTCACAGCAGACGCCACACTATCAGCCGCCGCCGCCACAAGCCCAGCCACAGCTACAGCCGCAGCCCAGCATCAAATACGAGCCGGGGCAATCTCAAAAGAAACGCATTCTGGCCATGGCGCAGAGCGAGTGCAACTATCAACCGCAGCCGCCGCCGCAGGTGCAGATACAAGTGCAACAGCAACAACAGCAGCAGCAAGCACCGCCGCCGCCGCCTGTAGTCAGCCTGCCGCATATTCCAACCAAGCAGGAGCCAGCCGAATTCTATCCGGATTATCCACCCCAACAGCAGCCGCAGCTGCAACTGGAAACGAAGCGCAGCTCTTGGGCAGCTGGTTCGAGTGCAGGCGCCATGCCGCTGGCACATCCCAAGCGCGAGGCGCCCTCTGTGGCGCCTGTTAACTATGTGGCACCCACTGTTGCACCACCGTTGGCCCACTCGAAGAGCAGCTCGAGCGGCTCCTCATCGATCAGCGCTGCGGCTGCTGCAGCTGCGGCAGCTGCTGCCGCTGCAGCCAGCGTCGGTCCACCGTCGTGGGGTCCACCCCAGGTCTATCGCCAGCCATCGCAGCCTCCGCCAGCGTCGGCATCTGCTGGTGGTGGTGGTGGAGGTGGAAGTGGAGGTGGTGTTGCCCCACAGCCATCCGCTGGGCCGCCACATCATCATCACAGCAGCCACAGTCATCATCATCATCATCAGGCGGGCACGCCGCTGGGCGGCTCACCGTCATCGACAGCCGCTGCTATGTTGCAGACAGACATATATGCACAGGGCGATATGTATCGAAGACCCACCGTCTATGTATCCCAGGCAGCGCCCACATACGCCTATGCGAACCGAGCGGTGGTTGCCCCACCACCAGCCCACAATAGCTCCAGCCGACAGGTGGGTGTTGATAATTTACAAATTGCATTTTAAACAAAATTTCTTTCTATCAATGCATGTAATTACCTGTAATTACCAAAATCAATTAATTTTAAATACAAAAGTAATTGGAATGTGATTCTGTTGTTTATTTGGAATGAGCTACACTATTGCATTCAATCAAATGAAATTATTCCATAAATACTAGAGTAATTTAGAGTAATTGGAAAGTAATTACGGAGCTTTACTTACTATGTCATTGATTATTTTATATTGCTCAGTTGCTTACAATTACATTAAGCTCTACTCCATAATTACTCGAGTAATATCAAGTAATTAAAGCTATCATATATGATATTTCACTAATTGCTGTAATTTCACAGGTCATACCATCCCATCCGCTGCCGGCTCACATTCAAATCCCCACACAGTATAGCCAATTCGGACCATTGAGTCCCGCCCAGGTAGCTGCCAGCAAGCATGCGGCGCACTTTGCGCCCACCAACATATGGTATGGTGCTGAGTAGCTTGCTGAAGTAGGGTGCACGAGGGTTGACGCGAGGATGCCAGAGGCCACCACTGACAAGAACAACAACCAGAACAACAACTACAACTACAACTACAACAAGAACACAGCTTCCTTTCCTAACTAATCACACACAGAGCGTAGAACTTGATTACTTGATTGATTGATTGATTGATTGATGCTCGAGTGAGTCGATAATGCCAGCTAGACATCAATTTCAACTGGTTTTCTATATATATTAGTCTAGAACAAAGAGTTTACTAATCAAATGCTCTTATGCTTGTGCTCATTTAGATCTTTTGTGGCCTCGGTTGATGGCGGCGACAGCAACAACAACAACTGCAACAACACTAACAACTTTGAGGAGCAGCAGGAATTGCAGAGGCTGCAGCTGACGCAATGCTGGTGGTTTATGATGCTCATGCAGCAGAGCATCATACAGTACAACAGTAACATGTTGCAAGAGACAGGCGCAACAACAACGACGACGACGACGACGACGACAACTACTACAACAACAACAATAAGTGTTGCACGCAACAAGAGTTGCCGCAAACGTTGAAATCGTTTTAAGTTGTTTTTTTTTTTAATTTCGTCAATACTTAAGATTGTCGATTTTTCATTAATTCAATTGCGAATTACGATTGATTAATTTAAATTAAGATTTCCAATTTTTTTCCATTTTAAATAACATAATGTTAAGCATTTTCTACGCGCAGTTTGTCGTGTAAAGTGCAACAGCTTACATACACATATGTAATTAACACACACACACACAACATAATCGAGCGAAAATTGAGAGATTTTCCAAAAGCAAAAGAAGAAAAAACTAAAGCGTTTCACTATGTGTGTTGTATATTTTTATTAGAACTGCAAAGTGCATACTATAACTATATATGTTTATAATATATAAGAGTACGCTAAATTATGTATTCGATAGAAACTTATGATACTAAGACATGCAGACACCCACACACACATACATATATGTAAAACTACAACAAAAACTAAATCTTAATCTTAATCTTAATATTATATATATATGTATATATATATATATATACTACACACACGCAAATTATTGCAAAAATTCTAAAACAATATTTTAAGCTAAACAAAAGTAATGTTTGTGAAACAACAACAACAAGAAGACGAAGAAAATACTTAGTGCTAAAGAATAGTAACATTTTTTTAGACTTTTTTAGCAAGTACCTCATGAATTACAATTAAATATGCAACAACAGCAACAACAAAACCAACAACGTTATGCAAAAAATTGCCTTTTTACAACAAATAATAAACAACAACAAAAGAAAACGAGATAAATTATAGTAACCCAGAAAAAAGGGGAAAAATAAATAACTTTAGTGAGATAATCATAAACAACAAAAACAAATATACCGCAAAAACCTTACTAGCAATCAAAGCATACATATATATATATACATATATATATATATATATGTATATATGAACAATATATAGTAGTTAAACCTAGCGATATCTAAAAATAACTGATAACTGACATGCGATATATGATAGCTAATAAACCTAGACATATACAGACCTATTTTTTTGTTGCGTTAACCAACACTCACACACACTCTCATAGAACTTAAAATGTAAGAAGCTAAACCTACAAAATAAATATATCTGGGGCTTTGTACAAACGTATAACAAATTAGATGCATTGTATTTAGCAATAACTTTATATATATATATAATATAATGGATTTTAAAATCAGATCAGGTACCAGGTCAGTGTTGGAAAACACCTAAGCGTCATTTACTTATAAAATAAACAAGAAGAAAGTTAAGAAATAATTTCTATTTTCAATTACCCAGAAACTTGGGTTTTTCTTTTAGTTTAAGTTTCTCTGCGTTTAGTTTACTTTCTGCTTTTCTTTCATGAATTTTGAAACAACAACAACAACAAACACTTATAAGTACAAAAAGTCAAAGCAATGTAGCTATAATCGAACAGTTTGTAGTCTCTTTTGAAACATGTTTCTTATTTAGTCTTATATCTTACATTTTGTGTCTTTAAACTATCATTGGAAATATGTTCGGTAAACGCAGAGATTTTCTTACCTTTTGTTTGTATGGCAACTATGATATGCTAACTCTATACGATACGATACTAACTACCTATATATATAGAGATATATATATATATCTACATATATGATTGTAATGTTTCTTGTTAATTAGGTTTCTTAAAGCGTATTTTGTAGTTAGTCGTAAACATTTTTTGTCAAATCCTTTTTTATGTTTGAATTGAATTAGAACTGTGGGCACTTCCGATTATGATACTACAAATATATATAAACATATGTATATGTATATGAATTATGTAAAAATTCAAGTAAAATGTAATTGAAATTTGTGTTTATTAATGCATGCATCTATTGTACTCCAGCTGTGCACGAACTAAATGTAATATTCAAATCAATATATATATATATATATATATATATATATATAAATAAAGAAAACAAGCTGATCTATTTGGTAAACAAGTCTAGCATATAATTATTGTGATGTAGTTTTTAAAAAGTCGATGCAAAATACAAATTGATGTCGGAATTTTTGTCCTTGTCGTAATTAGCCAGTAAAACCAGGAAGAAGATGATTTAAACAAACAAAACAAATTACAAATTACTAATTAATTGTAAGCATATATATATATATGGCGTATGCATATGAATATTATTAATATATGTTAACTATTTAGTACACACAGAAAATGACTAAACAAAAAGGCAAACAACAAAATTCGTTTAATTTTTCATTTTGATTTTGAACAAGTTTGAAATTTCCTTTTTAATATATGTAAACTTAATGCTAGATGTTTAGTGTTGTGACTTTAAATGATAAATCGTAACAGATATATATTCGTATATATATATCTAGATGTAGCTATAGCTATAGCTTCAGCTGCATAGCCATGGCTGTCAGTTGGCAGCGGCGTTTTGATTTGTTTCTTTTTGATAGACATTTTATGGACCATAAAATATATATTTAACAAGTAAAGAAAGCGTCTCGTGCTTGTCATGTTTAGTTTCCTTTTCTTCTCTAACTAATATATGCATAAAATATATAAACTATAATTAATAACTTTAAACAAAGAACATTTCAATTTCTACTCAATGTGTTTTTTTATATATAGAAAAGCAAAGCAGAAAAAACGCTTTAAATGTAACAAAAACGAAACGTTAATAGACTTAAAGAAAATAAGAAGAAAATTTAAATATATATAAATATATAAATAACACTCACTAAACAAATTAAAAAAAAAAACAGACATAGACACATAAATATATATATAAATAAATATCTAACTAAAGTTTGTAATTAAGCAAGCGTTTTAAATTAAACGAAAAGGAATAAACAAAAGTTTTAACTGTGTAGCCTTAAACAGAAATCAATTTACAAACGAACATTAAATACGATATGTGTACTACATATATATATATATATATAAATATAAACTTGAAATATCATACGATTGAACGTATTTCTAAATGTACTAAAACCTGATTTGCCTATCATTTTACACGCATCTATATAAATATATAAATATATATATTTTAAATTTGTTTAAATATTTTAATTTTGTATTTCGCACACTTGCATAAAATTTTTATATTGTATAACCCACACCCACATACACACACATATATATTTATATATATATATATATCTATATATATATATAAATATTATATAGCCACAAAACATATAAATTTACTATTAACATAAATGTTTACAAATATGTCATAAAATACAAAAACCAACAACAACAACAACAACATAAATATATATATATACGATTAACGAAAGCATATTTTCATTGCCTTGTTTTCTTTATAATTTTATATGGTTTTTTAAATATTTTCTTTTAGTTTTATCAACTAAGTCAAAAAGCTAATCAAAAGTTTAAACAAAAAGCAAATCAAGGAGAACAACAAATACAAAATATATATCCCACCAACAAAATTAATTTTAAATAAACATAAGAAGAAGATGATGAAAAAAGGGACAATTTTATAACTACTTAACTGATATATCAAAAATGATAGATATATGTATCTATATATATCTAGATATATATTTAGAATTTGCTTTAGTTTGTCTTGAAGCTCATCACGAATTGGTTAGGCTACAGCTGCAGGTGTATATGTGCATATATGATATATATGTATATATATATATATATATATGCATATAAGATATGGTTATATATATACCTAATTTTAGTTTACTCTGAATCAGGTTTCTATAGTTGCCAATAGTTGGTTAATTCATTTCCAATACGCACACGCACAACAAACACATACACACACACATAGACACACACATACACATACACACACGTTGTTTGACCAATTCAAAAAACCAAATTTGATGAGCTTTTCGAGATAATTTGTCGCTTTGGAATGTGTTTCATACGCAAGTTATGTGCATTTAACAAGCTTAAAACACAACAACAACAACAACCGAATACCAATAATAATTGAAACAAGTAGTTATAGTGCTTAAGATACACCGAACAACAATTTGCATTCGATTTTGAACGAAACGAAGAAAAAACGTTTATAACATTTGACGCTGACAAAGAAGATTGATAAGAACCCGTCCATAATTAGATTTTGTTCTTTTAAAAAACAACAAAAAGCCGAAAAAACCCAAAACATATGGAAACGAGTTACACCTAGTTAGATATACATATATATCTATATATATATAATAATTCAAAGCTTTGTTGGCGCTCGCAAATCGTCTTAGATTAAAAGGAAACAAAAATAGTTCTACGCTCTCTCTACGTGTTTTTCTTAGACTCGTACATAAAATATAGATATGTAAATCAATATATTAGGTATATGCATAGCAACTAAGTTCTGAGGGTTTTCCATAACCACCTGAATGCATTAGAAATGTGAATTCAGGTTCAAATCCATGCAAGCACGCAGAGGAAATCGCACAATCATTGTTAGCTACGATCTTCTGCCCTCTTCCTTTGTTATAGCTTCATTAGCTTACCCTGAGCTGAACCCACCAGATGCAAGGCATTCAAGTTTTTGCCATCAATATTTTATTTTTCCTATGTATTTGATAACCGTTCGAAAACTCCTTCAATATTTATGTTTGGAATAGTTGATCGAACATCGTTTGGTATTATAGGCGATATCGATCATTGTGAATTGGAAAAATTGTTTAAATTGTATTTTTGGCGTCTCCTGAATCCAATTTCGATGTCGAATTTGAAACTCAATTTCTCTGGCTCTATAGAAAATTGTAATAGGACAATTTTATTAATAGAGTATCTGCCTCATAGCCACAGCACGGATTAGCCCCAAGCTCTATTTTTCATGAAATGAAAACTTGACTCGACTAGAACAAAGAAAGGAAAACAAACTAAAAGTTAACATCAAATTTTGATAGATAACCCTCAAGCTTGGTCATATACCTACAAATATATTGCATTTGAATAGAAAATTTTGAAGAATCGAATCTTGAAATTGTGTTTCGGATTGATATTTAGATGTTTTAAATAAATACAAAATACAACTAAGTACGATATATTTACATAAGCAAAACAAATACAAATACATATTAACAAAAGAAAAACAAACAAAATTACATATATATATATATATATACACTATATTTTATTAAATACAAAATATTTCGAATAACCAAGAAAAAGAAAACGAAAAGAAAAATATGTTGATGTGTGAAATTTATAAGACTAGCATATTTCCTACCTAACAGACAAAGTAATGAATATATACGTTATGAGATATACATATATATATGTATATCTATATATATACATATAACTATAATATTTAAACTAGCGGCTAGTTCGATTCCACGATTCCAACTAAAGATACAGAAATATTGAATTATAAAACACGAAAAGCTAAAAATTATAAAAAATCGTCTAACAAATTGATCGTACCTTTTTGCTGATTTAACTGGAATATATATATGAATAATATATATATGAATATATATATGAATATATATAGAACTCTTGTATTTTAGTGTGTAAAGCGTGATGCAAACGTAATCGAAACAATATGTTTTAAATGAATATACATAATATATATAATATATATATTTGATTAGCTCGTAATGCAACTTAGATGATGGCACTTTATTGGGATTTGCTTTTTATATACATACATATGTACGTGGACTAGAGTTAACTGAATCATATTTATAACGTATATGGATAGCTGTGTGTGTGTGTGTGTGCATTAACTTTTAGGCATTAGTGTAATTCGTGCGACGTTTGAACACAAGAAATGAGAATTTCAATATTTTTATATGCAAGCAAAACGAATGGAATCGATAAACCAATAGTCAATAAAACATATAGTTAAGAGCGAAATATAATAACGAAAACAAAAAAACAACAACAACAACAGCAACAACAACAATTGCAAACAACAACCAAAGAACGATAATCAAAGCGCGCACACATTTACAATATTTAGATTAGTTTTTTTCTTTGTTGGGCACCAAGTCTTATAGCATAATCGCCACCCTCTCACACTCACTCTGCACTATATATATATAGTGATATATACATTTTCACTTGTAGCATGTAGCTAAGCTAATATATATAGATACGAGTATATAGTTATATATTTTAGATACCTAAAAGCATGGGTTAGACAACGAATTGCCGGGCAAAAAACGAGGGAATCACCTAACATAACATAATTGAATGAAGCGAAATGAACAAGTTGCAGTCGGGCGTTATCGACTGCACAATACTCGCTTACAGTTGAGCGTTGCCCAAAGGGCAGAGCTGAGTTGACGCTTGAGCTCTAAGAACTGAGGCAGATCTGCTCGCATTCTCTGTCCAAATTGGCTGTAAGCGAGTAAAGTTAATAAAAAATCTGTAATAATAATACTAATTCAGCTTGTACATTCCCTGGGCCTTAACCTCCCCCCGCGTCAACATTAAAACAACGATTTGATAGGAACGTCTTTAGCTAACTTACACACAAATCATGGGAAATCCAAGCCAACGAGTCACACACTTAAAACTTACTTATTTTTAGTATCTTAATCATGTGTATTGAATGTTTTTCCACTTGGTGTCCAAATAAATATATATATAGATAAAGATCAAGGTCAAGCGAGAGTCTTAAGCAAAATACTTCTTATATCAAAAACCAAGCACACCGATACATTTAGCAAATATATATATATATATAACTATATCTGCATGGTATATGGCATGCAATATATCGTATATATATATATATATAAATATTATATATCAAGTACTAACTATGAAGTTATATAAACTTATTCAGATATGCGTACCTTTTTAAGCAACTAATTCAATGTTAATGTGTAATCATATATATATATATATATATCGATATGTGCATAGGGACTACCCCTGTTTAGCAGCGTTAGGGGCAGGCATGCATGCAACACACCGTCTCAAGACCAAACAATTAACTTTAACACAATGAGCCGCAAATTTGTATTTATATCTATATACATATATATAGTATATATATATAGAGTAAAAAACAATCGAGTTACGATTTCAAACCGTTAAATAACTGAATTTTTAGTCAAGTAAAAGGTAAAAGAGTAAAAACAAATCCCATTGATAGATAATTTCGATAAATACAATATAAGAACTTTTGACTTTTATGGCTGTTTAGAGATTTTATAATACATATATATATATATATATACTTATGATATAAAACAATACACACACACACACACGTACACTAAAACTTTTGCCCCATAGAGAACTTCCCCACTTTTGATGCCCCAAGACGTGGCAATCCCAACTTTAACTCTTAAAATCTTTTGCTCTTTAAAATCTCTTTCTCTCTCTTTCCCTCGCTCTATCTATATATACATACATATATATACAGCTCTATGTCTGGAATCTGGCATAGGCTAAGCCCCGCCCTGCGCTCCGAGCAGCGTTTTTTGTAGCCTCTAGAGAAAAGCTAATGAAGGAAAGCGATAGAAAACAAAAATTCAAAATGAAAATCAACAAACGAAAATTGTGAAATTTAGTGTCTTTACACTTTAAAGAATATATACAAAAACTAAAAAATAAAAGAAAACTTAACTAAGTTGAATTGCATGTAGATCGGGCTATGGCCACGATATTTGTATAAGAGCATAACTCACACTCACACAGATACACACACACACACAGTTAGAGAGATACGTGAAAACAAAATACGTTCACATACAAATTATGATAAATACTCGTACTTATGCCTAAAAGGATAAACGTGTAGTTAATATCTACGATCAAAGCGAAACAAAACAAAGCAAAAACAATTACAAATAAATGTCTATATATAATGTATATGGAAAATATAAAATACAAACGATTAACAACAAAAACAAATACAAAAAAAAAACAAAAATTATCCAAAGATAAATTCAAGTCTTTTAATGTATTTCAAATTTAATGGCAGAACGAAGATGGAACTGGAAACAGGACTGCCAAACCTTACAAGAGGTAGGAATTTTGATAGTGGGTCTTGCTGGAGATGCTCTGGTACCAGTCTTAACTGCGATCCCATTGAACATGGCATACAAAATGCAGCAATATTTAATTTATTTATAGTAGCTTTTACAGTAAAATTGGAAAGTCTATATTGATCTTTTAAAAGTTAGCCTTTATAAGATGACGCTCCACATGTTAAGTCTTTTTAATTTTGCACCAAAATAATATACTCTTTTCACTGCGTGAGCGAGCATCACACTGAGCACATGAAATGAACTGAAATTGCTCAAGTGAATCAACTTTTGGATGCTGCGAGAGGACGAGCAATGAGAAAATGGAATGAAAAGAACTCCTATAAGGTTAGACAGATCGTGGAAGCAACAAGGAAGTTGTTGAAGTGCTTGCCAGAAGAAGGTAGCCTAGGTAATTTTCAGTCGAGCACACCCGCTTACTGTTGCTATATAGTTCTACTAGAATATGTACAAATAAACGTATATAAATTGTCAAAGTTGTGTGTCGATTTTTAAGGAAGGAAATCAAGTTTAGTAAGTAGACGATGTATGTTCAGTCTGCAAAATTCCAAATCGTCTTTAGTTTGCTTAGAGAATCCACAAATATTTATTAGCTTACCAAACAAGAAAGAAAAAAACAACAATCTGTTTATATATCGTTTATATATACATAACGAGTCTATGGTGAAGAATTGTAGCAATTGCAATTATTTATCATAGATTTCCGATAAGTGAGTAGCTCGTAGCTCGTAGCGCGTAGTCGCGGGCAGCGTTTCAACAGCAACGTGCTCTGGTTGTTGCTCTTGCTGTTGCTGTTGCTGTTGCTCTTGCCGTTGCTCTTGTCGTTGCTGTTGCTGCTGTTGCAGTTGTTGCAGCTCTTGTTTATATGTTATGAAACAGCGTCTTTATGTTGTTGTTTAAGCTGATCATGGGCCAGACACTATCGGAACCGGTGACCACCAAGGATTCGTCGCGATGCTCCAACGCCTCGTTCCTAGTGGGCAGCAGTTGCATGCAGGGCTGGCGCATCGAGATGGAGGATGCCCACACCCATATACTATCGCTGCCAGACGACCCGGCTGCCGCCTTCTTTGGCGTCTACGACGGGCATGGCGGCGCGGCTGTGGCCAAGTTTGCGGGCAAGCACTTGCACAAGTTCATCACCAAGCGGCCGGAGTACTTCGGCAGCTCCATTGAGATGGCCATGAAGCGCGCCTTTCTTGACTTCGATCGCGAGATGCTGCACAATGGCAGTTGGGGCGAACAGATGGCCGGCTCTACGGCCATTGTGGTGCTGATCAAGGAACAGCGTCTCTACTGTGCCAATGCCGGCGACTCGCGTGCCATTGCCAGCGTGGGCGGCCTGGTGCGCCCCCTCTCCGTCGACCACAAGCCCAGCAATGAGTCGGAAGTGAAGCGCATTTTGGCCGGCGGCGGACGAGTCGAGAACAATCGTGTGAATGGCAATCTGGCTCTGTCCCGTGCTCTGGGCGATTTCATGTACAAACGCAACACCAGCAAGAAGCCGGAGGAGCAAATTGTTACTGCCGACCCGGACGTGATTGTCTGTGACGTCAGCGACGACTGGGAGTTCGTTGTGTTGGCCTGCGACGGCATCTGGGATGTGATGAGCAGCATCCAGGTGGCCGAGTTTGTGCGCGAGCGCATCGCGATCGGCATGCAGCCGGATCTGATCTGTGAACATCTGATGAGCTACTGCTTGGCACCGAACACCTATAACTATGGTCTCGGAGGTGATAATATGACCGTTATTATCGTTTGCATGCTGCACAACAAATCCTACGAGGAACTGATGGTGCGCTGTGGCGGCTCCAAGCCGGGTGGCGTTGGCGATATTGGTCCATCTCTAAAGGTAACTACCTCAGACTTCCTATATATATATATATGATTGATTTGCATTTAATAGTATCCAGTGCCGAAACCTTCCACAAGCAGCCGCAACCTGGATCATGCCTGATTTGGCATCTTTGGAACTGGGATTTGCAGACTTTGTTTCATTTTTGTTATTCGTTTGAAATTATTTTGGCATGCCATATACAATTCAGTCAAAGTTTCATCATCCACTTTTGCCGACATATATTTTTGTACATATCCCACGACATATATACATATATATATATGCGAATATATATGTGTGTGTACCTTGTTTTGGTTAGCAGAAGTTATCATCAGCTCTATCTCCCATCCTCTACCTACAGTAATTAAGCAACATTTCAAATTTCAAGTCGGATATGCTATTAATAGTCAGTTACAAAAAGTTTGAATTCAAATGCAATAAAATACTTAAATATGAGCTAAAAGTTTATTTCATGCAGCTTTGTGTGTGATGGAGCTTTGACCGCTAGATGGCGTTTTAGCTGATTGATGCAATTATTTGATATTTCAACTGTGAATGATGGCTTTTTAATTGCTTGCCTTTGATTGTTGAATATGGTTGATGTTCTAGTTATTAAAGATAGATTGTTCCTATATTTAGTGCCAAAAAGTTTGTTTAAATTAGCTGCGAAGTAGCCATCACCTGTAGATGGCGCTATAGCTGTTTGGTTCATGCATTTTGATAATGGCTAGCGCCTTTAACTGCTTGATTTGGAGTATAGAATGTGTTTTGACTGTTGATTGTGCTTATATTAATTGTCTCTTATATTGAGTAATTTTTCTTAGTTCTATGCCCCATAGTCCATACTAATCGGATGTATATAGTAATATATGTTCTTCAAATATCATCCTTAAGCTCTTAAGTCAACTCCTATATTAAATTATAAACAGCATGTGAAGCTCTTTATTATTATTATTATTAGTGTTATTACCATATCAAAGAAACTCCCAAAAATTCAATAAAAGTTTTTCATTTTCAGGGATCGATGGATCTCACTCGTTTAATTTGAAATAAATGTGCGTTTCTATAATACATAATGTACTCTATATAAGTATATATATATATATATGAAAATATATATATAATTAAATTGATATATATACGAGTATATATATGTATATGCATATACAATATCTTTGGTCTGTTTTAGCTGTAGTTTTTGTGTAGAGTATACAAAATGCAGTGTGCTTTGCTATAACAAAATTGAGAATGAAATAAAGAAAATAATAAGAAATCGATAAAATTAGAAACAATAAAAGTAATGTAACAAAGAGAGATACGCAAAAATGTACAAAATAATAGAAAGATTTGACAACTATGCAGAATATATATTCATATATAATAGATATAGACACATGTATAAATGTATACGTATCTGTGTAGAGGCTAATTAGTGTTTTGTAGTTATGTCAATTTGTTATTGCACCACATGCGGCCGTAAAGTGCTTAAAAATAACGCGACACATGCCAGACCCGACCACCCGACCACCCGACTACCCGACTAACCAAACACCTGCAGGGGCAGGAGTCAGGAGGCAGCAGGCAGCCGGCAGGAGGTCAGTTTGGCCCGGCGCATGGCGCACTTTAAAGATACAAGACTAGAGATTCGCTCGTTTCTTGGACTTCCGTGCCGAAAGCAGGAAATCGCAATGCCTTACAAACAAAAGAAATCTAATTACTCTTTAAGTAAATATGGCAAAAATAATATATAAACTATATATATATATATCTATGCGTGTGTGTAAATTCTAAAATCAGTGATATATATATATATATATGTGTATGTATGTATATATAATGTGGTTTAGTGCTAAAAGAAAAAATACTGGTTACATGTTTTTCGCAAGTCTCTAAATCCTCGTTACAACTAGGCGTAGATCGATTGAGTTTCTGTCTCTCTGTCTGTGTATGTGTGTGTGTGTGTGTTGGTGTTGTTTTTTGATTGATTGGAATCGTCTACTCTCTAACGGTACTTTAGCTCTTTTTTCATATTTATCACATATTTGTTTACTACAATAAGCTCCTAGAAAATCGAATGCAAAATGGGTTTTTTTTTGTTTTGGTTAAGTTTTTGGTTAAGATTTTAGTTTTTGGTTTTTTTGGTTTTTTGGTCATCTCAACATTGTAAATCTCTCTCTCGTTTGTCTTTTAACAGTCAGCTGCTGGGCTGTTGTTGTGGTGGTGGGCGTGGCTAAGCGACCATTGCATAGTTGCCGGTCAGCTCGAAGGGACTCGTCTTAGCCGAATGCGTGAAATTGTTCTTGGGCGAAAAGTCAACGGGCTGCTCCTGTTCCTGCTCCTGCTCCTGCTCTCGTTTTCTGCTCGCATCCTCGCCAGCTGCTGCCTGATGGGCATAGCCCTGATGATGATGATAGGGCAGCGCTAAAGGCAGCGGCAGTGGCAGCAATTGCTCCTGGTACATTGCACCCGGATGCTGTAGTATTGTGGGCTGCAGCAAGCCATTGCGCTTGTAGCTCTCGTAGTGCTCCAGGCGACCGGGATAACCATAGGCTAGTGCTTGTGCCTGGGCTTGAGCCTGTCGACGATCCTTTTCCTTCTGCAGCAACTTGTGCGCCAGCGTGGACTTTGCCGAATCGGGTAGAGCAACAGCCGCAGTAGCTGCTGCTCCACCTGTCTCCGGGTGCTCCGACTGCTGCTTCGGCAGTGGCAACACCTGGGCGGCACGGGCTGGCGTCTCGCTGCGATTCTTCATGCAGGACGATTCCTCGTGCTTGTACAGATAGGACTTCAGAGCAAAAGCCTTACCACAGCGGGCGCACGTATGTGGCTTGGTGTTCGAATGGGTTTGGATGTGAGCGCGCAAATTGGATTTGTCCGCAAAAGCTTTGCTGCAGACGCTGCACTTGAAGGGCTTCTCGCCCGTGTGGGTGCGTATGTGGCCTTGGAGCAGCCAGGGCCGCGAGAAGCACTTGCCGCAATACTGACACTCGCAGCCCTGGTTGTGGGTGCGCACGTGCATCGAGAAGGCGGGCATCGAGACATAAACCTTCTCGCAGAATGGACAATGGCGCGCCTTCTTGTCCATGATTGACCTGGGCAGGAGGAAAAGTTCGCATAAGCATAAAGGCAGAGTCGAAGGAAAGAGTCGAGTCTCACCTGTGTGTTTGTCTATGGCGTGCGAGATTCGAGGACGTGGAATATTTCTTACCACACTCGGGGCATATGTGCTCATCCTCAAGCAAGCTGCCGCTGCTGCTGCTGCCACTGCCGATGGCAGCTTGGTTGGCTGATTGCTCGCTGGACTGGCTGCTGCTGCTGCTAGTGATGCTGGCGCAGGAGTTTGAATCGGAGATGGTGGAACGACGCAGTTTCCTGCGATCGAACACCTTGTGGCTGTATGAGTTGTAGGTGGAGTCATCATCCGATGAGGCATAGAAGACGTTGCTGTTGCTGGCCATGTTGCTGCCTTTGGCTGCTGTGCTGAGCGGTCCGGCCGCCAGTGTCACATTCGCCAGCTGAGTTAGGTTGTACAGCTCCTCGGGTATGGGCGTGGCCAGCTGATCCTTGGTCATTTCGTCTCTAATCGAGCAAAGTAAGAAAACAAAAACAAACCATAAATTCCATGTGACGTATAAAAAAACCCAAGCAACCTGCTAAATCGCAGCAGATGCGTCACAATTAGCCACAGCATCAACAAATATAAAAATAATCCAAATATATAAAAATATGTATTTAATGTCTGTGCATTATAAATATATTCTGGCGATGTCAACTAATACACAATTTAATGAGCGCTAGACTGGCCAACACTCAGGTGGGCCAACAGCAAATGGCCTGGCTGTTGTCTCTTGTGTAGGGTATAGAGAATTCGTTGAGCTGCGTCATTGCTTTTATATTTATTTTATCAATTTATAATTAAGGACGAGCCAAGAGGCCAGCGTGGCCAACGCTGTCTGCATCATCGTCGTCACCTTGCTGCCGCCGCTGCACACACACGGGGCGTATGATTAACGTCAGCATGCAACCGGCTCTGGCGCACTTGTTGGCTGCATTTTGTTTCTTGGGTGCATCTGCGAAATAAATTCACGTCGCACTGCGCATAATTTGTGCATGTTGTCTTGGCATTGATTAATCTCGCACGTAATTGCCACCATCTCCACCAAACGCAGCACAGCCTAGCTAGCCATACATCCATCTATCTATCTATCTATCTATGTATCTATGTATCTATGTATCTATGTATCTATGTATCTATGTATCTATGTATCTATGTATCTATGTATCTATGTATCTATGTATCTATGTATCTATGTATCTATGTATCTATGTATCTATGTATCTATGTATCTATGTATCTATGTATCTATGTATCTATGTATCTATGTATCTATGTATCTATGTATCTATGTATCTATGTATCTATGTATCTATGTATCTATGTATCTATGTATCTATGTATCTATGTATCTATGTATCTATGTATCTATGTATCTATGTATCTATGTATCTATGTATCTATGTATCTATGTATCTATGTATCTATGTATCTATGTATCTATGTATCTATGTATCTATGTATCTATGTATCTATGTATCTATGTATCTATGTATCTATGTATCTATGTATCTATGTATCTATGTATCTATGTATCTATGTATCTATGTATCTATGTATCTATGTATCTATGTATCTATGTATCTATGTATCTATGTATCTATGTATCTATGTATCTATGTATCTATGTATCTATGTATCTATGTATCTATGTATCTATGTATCTATGTATCTATGTATCTATGTATCTATGTATCTATGTATCTATGTATCTATGTATCTATGTATCTATGTATCTATGTATCTATGTATCTATGTATCTATGTATCTATGTATCTATGTATCTATGTATCTATGTATCTATGTATCTATGTATCTATGTATCTATGTATCTATGTATCTATGTATCTATGTATCTATGTATCTATGTATCTATGTATCTATGTATCTATGTATCTATGTATCTATGTATCTATGTATCTATGTATCTATGTATCTATGTATCTATGTATCTATGTATCTATGTAATCTATGTATCTATGTATCTATGTATCTATGTATCTATGTATCTATGTATCTATGTATCTATGTATCTATGTATCTATGTATCTATGTATCTATGTATCTATGTATCTATGTATCTATGTATCTATGTATCTATGTATCTATGTATCTATGTATCTATGTATCTATGTATCTATGTATCTATGTATCTATGTATCTATGTATCTATGTATCTAAGTTCTATGTATCTATGTATCTATGTATCTATGTATCTATGTATCTATGTATCTATGTATCTATGTATCTATGTATCTATGTATCTATGTATCTATGTATCTATGTATCTATGTATCTATGTATCTATGTATCTATGTATCTATGTATCTATGTATCTATGTATCTATGTATCTATGTATCTATGTATCTATGTATCTATGTATCTATGTATCTATGTATCTATGTATCTATGTATCTATGTATCTATGTATCTATGTATCTATGTATCTATGTATCTATGTATCTATGTATCTATGTATCTATGTATCTATGTATCTATGTATATATGTATCTATGTATCTATGTATCTATGTATCTATGTATCTATGTATCTATGTATCTATGTATCTATGTATCTATGTATCTATGTATCTATGTATCTATGTATCTATGTATCTATGTATCTATGTATCTATGTATCTATGTATCTATGTATCTATGTATCTATGTATCTATGTATCTATGTATCTATGTATCTATGTATCTATGTATCTATGTATCTATGTATCTATGTATCTATGTATCTATGTATCTATGTATCTATGTATCTATGTATCTATGTATCTATGTATCTATGTATCTATGTATCTATGTATCTATGTATCTATGTATCTATGTATCTATGTATCTATGTATCTATGTATCTATGTATCTATGTATCTATGTATCTATGTATCTATGTATCTATGTATCTATGTATCTATGTATCTATGTATCTATGTATCTATGTATCTATGTATCTATGTATCTATGTATCTATGTATCTATGTATCTATGTATCTATGTATCTATGAGATGTGGGAGTTTCTATAAAGTATCTATGAGATGTGGGAGATTCTATAAAGTATCTATGAGATGTGGGAGATTCTATAAAGTACATATGTTCTTGATCAAGCGTCACCTGACTTACGCAAAAAATCTCTAACTGAAGTTGCGAAATTCTCTTAAAAAACTTTTGCTTTGCCAACTAAAAAAGTTTTTTCCTAATTCCCATTCTTTTCCTCTCAAAAATCGTTCTTCATCTAAACTTTTTATACCCTAAATCCAACTATTTGTCATATCTTTCTATAATATTTTTAAACATTTAAAATCTCTCATCTATCTGAATTTTATTTCTGTCTTAGTTCTTGCTACTCCTTTGAAAATTTCCTCGAAATTGTTTTCTATTTTTTGTTGAATTTCTTTGTAAAAATATAATTGTGGATGTTCCGCGAATTGATCTACAGATCGATAGAATACCCTTCTATATAAAATAAATGCTTGAAGAATGAACTATTAAAATTTCCAGGCAATCAAATTTTATATTTCCGATCTCACTTCGTTGTTGTTTATTTTTGAAAGTTTTCTTTCTTTCTCTTTATGTTTTCGTAATCGTCTAAACAATCGATTAATGCCTATTGCCACAACAACAATAACAAATACTGTGTAGGCGGGGGCGGGGGCGGTCGCTGGCAGCAAGGCAAGGGGCGGGTAGAGCGGGGCTAGCGTTGCGGAGGTCATGTGCACCTTGGCTTTGTTTGTTTTTCTTTTTTTCTGCTATGCGTTTTCCGTTTTCGACTTTCTGTTTGGCCGCGTGATGTGGGCGTGGTGCACCCCTACCACACCCGTCGCCACCGCAGTCACCGCCTTCTTAACAAAGAACAGCTAGTGGGCAGCCATTTGGCCTAAACAACTGTAGACTTTTGCAACCTGTTGCGTCTTCTTGGCGGCCAATTCTCAAAGTTTGCCTTTTTGTTTTTCTTTTCGAAAAAACATTTGAAATGAAATTCATTTCGTAGAGTACATCAAAATGTTCGTAGCCATAAAAATAATTTGTGGTGCAAAGCGGCAGCGGCAGGTGGCAAAGAATGTGCACCTTCGACTACAACAAAATCGACCCATTAAATATTGGCTATGATCTATGCGAGTGGGAGCCGCCCCAGACAGTTGGTATATATCTATATATATATCCATAAATTTGTGTCTTAACATTTATTTATACTCTTAGTGAGTGCAGACCCCGCAGCACCCGCTGATATGGCACAACCACCTGGTAATTTTCGCCCATTTAGCCAGCATACCTGTTCCACAGAAAATTCTACTAAATTATTTATAGTATTTTGGCTTTCAAAATGGTTGTGCCTGTTGTTGTTGTTGTCGTTGTTGGGGGCTTTTTCTGCCAATTTCATGAAAATTGGAAACAAAGCTGACAAGTGGGAAAATTGTGGCTAGCTATGAATGTATTTGTATTTGAATGTATTTTTTCGGCTTTTCCGAGACCTCCTCAATGCTGTGCCATAATTTTTGTCGATGTCAGTTGAGCGCAAAAGATGAAGCTGAAGACGAACCGAACAAGAAGCACAAGTCCGAGAGTCGCATGTTTCTATGACAGGCCGTTAATTAATTATTCGTTGGCCCGTGCTGCGATCGCAGATCGGTAATCGCAGATGACATCTCAAAGAGCAGGAAAAGCGCTGCTGCTGCTGCTGCTGCAGCATTTAATGTTAATTGGTGCAGGCCTTTGCAACTAGCAGCACAGCACAGGGGCAAGATGCTGGGGGTTTGCTAGGGGCATTTAACATGTGGCACATGTTGCTATAAACTCAAATCGAATTGCATTAATTTGGTTAGCACAATTTAAAACTGATTACAGTGGAAATCAAGTGTCATCTATGACTGCATGTAAGAAGCTAAGAAAAGAGAAAAGAAAAGAGTATGAATAAAGGAAGAGAGTAGGCGTCAGAGAGAATAAGAGAGAGACAGAGATAAAGAGAGAAAAAGAGCAAGAGTAAAATTATATGGAGCAGGCTGAGAGTTTTAGGATAGAAAGAGTAGCCGAAAAAGAGATATAGAGAAATAAAGAAAGGGAGGAGTCAAAGCGTAATGCGAAAGATAACAGATAGAGAGAATGAGTAAATCGAGATACTAAGGTAGAGATACCTCATGAAGTCAGGATAGAGCAAGTAAGTAAGTATATATATATATAAGTTGAAGGGGTAAGAAGAGAGAGCGAGCGAGAGACATAGAGTATCAGAATGAACACGCATTTACAATTTAGTATTTCTATCGAGTGTAGCTGAGGCTTTCAAAGTCTTTTCAATAAATAAAGAAATAAAATCGCTTCTGCTTAATTACCTCGATCATTTCTCTCGCAAATCGTGTAATTTTGTGCTTTATTAATTATCATATATATTCTATAATGCGAAATAATCTTGAATAATCACATCTCGTTTGTTAGGCTGTTGTATTATGGCAACAAGAGATGCATTTAACATCTTTACCACATGCTACCTTTCATCAAGTCTGCACCCAGAGTCCCCAGAGCCCACAGGCCACAGGCCACAAAAGTGCTTCGAGTGCATTTCGTAAACTCGACGCACAATGGATAAGAAAATGCTTTTCTTTTATTTTTCTTCTATTTTACACATATATATTTACGGGCAAGAATCTGCGCAAAATGCGCTCGGGCCGTAGAAAGTTCAAAGTCCTGTTAATGTACACAAAGCAAAGAAATGTTAATGGCTGACGTGGCTGAGGGGGCGTGAGCGGGGGGCGGATGGCGGCACCACTGGCCTCGCTGGCCTTAACAACGATGGCTCGGTGGCTCGGTGGCTGCGTGCCACAGACTCGAATGCGCGTTTCGACTATTTATAGAGACGGACAGAGTGAGAGAGAGAGAGAGTCGCAGCCCAGGGCAGGAGAAAATGCGTGCATAGTTTACATTTAAGTTCAAACTTGAAAAAAAGATGCAAGATGCAAGATGCACAATAAACAAATCACTGGGCAGTGCGGCGCCTGCTGTGCCGGCTCCAAAATCAATGCCACGTCAGCCAGTCAGCCAGTCAGCCACACTCAGGACTTGCCCCACACATGCACACGCACGCGCACACCTACACGACTTCCTGCCAGTTGCCTCCTACCAGCTTCGAGTTGATGTTTTGTTTATAGCTCCATCAGCGCTGGACTCATTGCCAGTCACATTGGGCACATGTTTACGCCGCCTAATTATAAACAGAAAACGGGACACAAAGGATCTCTGAGCTATATAAATATATATACATATGTTTATGCCAGACTCATGTAAATACCAATGTCATTTAAATACAATGCAATTTGGTTTACCTCTGTGAATTGTTATTAAGATTGATCTGATTTATATGCGTATATTATATGATGATATTTGTCGATGTCGATTTATATGATGATATAGTATATACGTATGTGATGCATCCGTATTCCAGATCATTTGATTGATATTGCTTAAGATTGATATCTTTTATAGATCACAGATAGATTAGTTATATTCCATGAAGATACTCCTATAAGAATATGCCCCACTACTACTTTTCTATTCCTATTTATATTTCTCTTACTATTAATATACTGTGCTACTAGTACTACTAATACTACAACTACTATTACTGCTGCTACTACTACAAATAGTACTTCTATTGCTACTACTACCCCTAATACTTCCCCTACTTTCTAGACTTTTTTTCCCAATCATTTCCTTAAATCTTCGCAGTTTTGTTTGATCACAGCGACGCACGGCATGACTTAGCTGAAATACAGTTGGCAATACGGCATATATACTCTATACTCGATACTCTATATTCTATACTCAAGATGTTTACGCAACTAACGTTAGAGAGATGGCATGTAAGTTGTCAACAGCTCTTTGAGCTGTTCTTGTTGTTGTTGCAGGGCAGTTTCTGTGATTGCATCCCATCTGCTTGGCCCGATCATTGCCAATGCAAACACATTTCTCACGTAAATGTCAAAATATCAAAGAAATCATAATATTAATTTAACAAGTGTGGTCCAATAGCTCTGTCTCCCTCTGTCTATGAGATAATTTGAAACAAAAAAAAATGCTGCTCATCTGCCAAAAGATTTGTCTTCAATATATAGTATAAGAATAGCCCAGAGGTTTTGCTTATTGGAGCAATTGTGTAATTCGCAAAATGGGATAGACAACTAAGTTGCCCTGTACTCAAACATATGTAGAATAGATATATGCATATGCACCCAGCTGGATACTCACCCTAGCTGTAACACACGCTGTGGATCAGGAAGTGAGCCCTGCGTGGAGGGGTCAACTGAAGCGTGATTGTTCTAAATGGACGTGAATGGATCGCTGTTGCTTGGCTCTCAATATAGCCGATGATTCAGCCGAATGTTTGGTGTCGATGCGAAATCAATATAATATATCACCACGCACAACACTCGGCTCTTCCTCCCCCAGCCTCTGCTCTGCGCTGTCTGAATGTTCTTGATTCACGATTTGCACGAACTTTTCATCACAAGGAACAATAACGAGATACAGATACAGATTGAGAACGAGATACGATTAATGCACAAGTGTTTTGTTTTTGGCCCGACTATTTAACCGATCCGATCCGATCCGATCCTCCGCTATTGATATTGTTATTGTGGATCACTGGGCAGGCAGGCAATGTTTTTGCACGGTGCGCGCACTCGCTCTGTCTTGCTCTCTCTTTCTTTATTTTCTTTTGGTACGAACGCAGCGAGATCTCGGAAAGAACTGAACTTTCTTGGCGATGGCACTTACAGTTTTTACATCGCTGCCGCTGTCGTTTCTGCTGCTGCTGACGTCGAGGAGGTGACGATGCCTACGCCGGCAGCCGACAGCCGACAGCCAACAGTTGAGAGCCGACAGCTAGCAGCTGTTTGTCCGAGGATCGGCCGCCGAATGCCTCTCGGCTCTCCCCTGTGGAACAAGTGTGTGCGGTTTAAAAATAAATTGAAAATAATGTTTTTATTAGGCTGCCTCTCTCGCACGCTCGCTCGTTCGCTTGCTCTAACTCTCCCGCTGCTGCCGTGCACATTTTCCAAAAGGGAATCTATTCACCGTGCTTGTGGTTGTGGCTGCGACAAGGACCACTGCGCAGAATATTTCTAACGCAGCGTCAAGTTGGCAGCCAGACGACGGCAGCCAGTGTCAAAAACCTCACAGATCGCAGTTGCCCCCATGCCGCTGCAAGCCCTATACAAGGGGGAAAACAGAGAGAGAGAGAAAGAGAGTGAGAGAGAGAGTGAGAGGGAGAGCGAAAGTGTGCGAGCGCTGCGGTTGGCAGCAATTTCGCCGGTTCAGATTCGAATTCTGTGTTGCTGGTGACGCAGTCGGAGCAATTTGGCATTTTGAAATGGCTGTTTGTACTTTTTGCGTGCCCATCCAAAGATAGATTCGCTCACCTGACGCCACCAGCCCCCCTTCCCCACCCTCTCTGACGCCCCTGATGCCCGCCCTTTTCAAACGAACGTCTGCATCACAGGTGTTGTCGGCAGCTACTCTCAACATTTGAGTTTTTCAAGCGTATTGAACTTAATGTCGCTCTGTCAGGTGTTGCCACAGCAATGGGGCTTTGAATTGGGCATAGCTCTTACGTATTTGCCGTATTCTATAATCAAATATATATATATATATATATATATATATATATATATATATATAAACATGCATTCTATATGATTTATGTCTCTTGTTTTTGCCTTGATTTGTTTCTGGTTCTAAGTGGATTTTGTTGTTGCTGCAAGATTTATACTGCTGCAGTTGCTGTTGCACGCATTAAATATTGAAGAAAATTTACAACTGATCGCAGGAACATAAAAGATTTCAAAGTTAAATTGTTAAATATGTATTTTTAGATAAACAGTGCAATGAAATGCAGTTAATATTGATTGATAGGTGTGAAACAAGTCAATTACATAATGCCAAAGAGGAGTCTCCAATCAATCAAGTTTTCTAATAACGATATTTAGATCCGTGTGCTTCCTAATGTTCGTATGTTTGTAAATATTTGAATATTTGAATAAATTTAAAATGTTGGTGCTTTTATAACTACACCAAAGACAATTTACAGTTATTCACGATCTATGCGGTCCATTGTTGGAAATATTCGCACTTTTCTGTGACCTCGACCCACGCAATATGAAAACAAAGAAAACCGAATTGGCTTGCAGATAAAGACGTGCTATCCCATAGCTCAGGGTGTTTTGCTGTCGTCTGGCGCCAACATGGAAATGCAATTTGAATCCTATATACATACATTGCATATGTACATATGTATGTTTGTGTTTATAGAGGGTCAAGTTAGGCCAGGCGCCATGCCAGCAACAGATCAGCTTTTGGACCAAGGAAGTATCAACAAAGCTGTGTGGTGGCTGGGAAGCGGGTGCAGATGGACGCTTTATAGGGACAAGACAGTGTGACATGTGCTAAAGACATTCGTGGCAGCTTGCGTCGTCTTTAATCACGGCAATTAATAAAAGAGAGTCGCCTGCCGCGATGCAAGGAAGTAACAGAGAAAAAGGAGAAAGAAAGAGAGAGAGGGTGAGAGAGTGAGCGAGAAGGAGAGGGAGAGGGAGATTGCATACAATGGGCTGAAAGTTTCACTGCATCACCCGCAGCGTTGAGTTTCTGGAAAAGTAAAACGCGACTGGCGGCCATAAATCTATTTTGGTCCTGATTCCTCAGCCAATCTCCCACTGCTCTCGACACTCGACTCGCAAAGGCCAGGGGCCTCACTTGCTGCGCAATTGCAGTTGCTGATGCCGAAGACTCCTCTTATTTTTAACTCCAGCCTTTCTTTGCGTAGGTAAAATGCCGTTGAAGATGCTCCCATAAATTCCACATAACAGCAAAGCCAGAGCAGAAAAGGGCAGAGGAGAGCAGGGAAGAGCAGAGACAGCGAAGCTTTTCCAATTATTTACACGGATAAATAAAGCGAAATCGCCTTAATGTGAAATTCAACAGGCAGACAAAATGAAAACAAAAACAACAAAAATATTTCGCATTTCATTTCTTATTCATTTCTTTTTTTTTGTTTTGTGTAAATAATTTTATAATCGATTTCAAATGAAAGAGTCTTTAGCGTGCGGTTCCATTAATTATCTCGTTAATCTCTTTCGAATTGCTCAGAGTTCGTTTGCAGTGGGTAAAACACACAGAAAAAAATTAAATAAATAAATTCAGTAAAAAATAAAACTGAAATGGACTAAAATTGTAATTAGTGAATACATATTAATTTTTTCCTTGATCATTTCAAATTTACCCTTACTGTCTTTAAAGCTATATATTTTAACAATTGCTTCTTCATTTTATAACTGGCAAATATTTGTGTATTTGGCCGTGCGGCTTTAATTTCCGATTTATTCCAGCTATACATGTACATATAGTTCATGCATACATATGGTGGTTAAGCCACGTGATGGCCAAAATTGATGTTACTAGCCGCAAGTCTCGCATATATTTTCTATTAGTTTGATCCTATTTTTTATGGGCAGCAGCTCGAGCAGTAGCTAGAGCAGTTGCCATTTCGTCACCCAATTTTTGTTTATTTTTTATTTTATTGATTACTGCGTCCTGTTTACCGTAGTTGGTGCATTGTTTAAATTATTGAACAATTAGTCAAAACATTTGTTTGGATCTGGAATAAACGGATTGCTGTGTGTCGGATCTGTAAAGTGGTCGCCCCTCGGCGCAGAGCCGGATATGCTTGTAATTCCTGCATTCGAAGTCGAATTTCAAAGAGAAAAACAAAACATCATAAAGTTCTATTTTTAATATACGACAGGCGATTCAAATTAGGGGGAGTTGGTGACTGACAGAGGAGGTGCAAAGCAGGGTGGGCAGTGGTGGGCGGTGCAGCGGGGTTCGAACCCCAAGCTATATTTGAAATTTAAAGTGCAAGTGAAGCGGCCACCGATCCAAAGGTGGCTGTTGCCACTTTGCGAAGGGCCTGGGAGAGGGGGTAAGGGGAGTGCCGCGCTACAAGCGCTTGGCGTGTGCCGCCACTCGAAGTAAAAAAGGGAGAGGTAGTGGCAGAGGGAGGTAGAGAGAGGGACGGAAAGACACTGCAAGGCAATGCATCTGCAACATGCAGCGGGCAACCTGCGGCATGCTTAAAGACACGCATGGCAGACATATACACACATACATAAATCCATATCCATATCCATTCAGCCTCAGTGTTTAAATTCAAAGAAACAAAAGCGGAAATGTTGTTGTTTTCCTTCTTTTTTATTTTTAACAGCAACAACAACTAGAAGAAGTCAAACAAAAACATCAAGCACATCATCATAATCGCTGCTTGATGCTTTTATATGACAATTGAAATCTTTTGGTCATTGAACTCTTTGACTTTTGTTAGCGTTAATAGTACTGTATTATTTTTACTATTTTTCAGTTTTAAACTGTTTTTGAAAAGCCGCCAAGTACATGAACTCTAGGCAGTTAATCTAATAACAGCCCTGTCTAATACTTAACAGAGTCACTCTTAGTCGACAGCGTTATAACAATTGTTCATAACTATCCCCATTTATTCTATATTTTCTAAAATGTTTATAATAAAAAGTAATTTCTTAATTAAATTATTAAATAATTATTTTAGCTTCGTTTTGATCTCCCTATTATACTTAAAAACCTCGAGAATAAAATCTTTACATACAGCTTACTATGTATTTCATAGATAATTATGCTTATGAAATAATAATTAAGTAAGATATCCTATATTCCGTTTATTTTTATTTTATAATTATTTTCATAGCATTTTGGATTGATAACCTGTTGAAATTTAAAAATGCCGCCAATTTATTGTCTGTGGCAATATTAACAGAATTAACTCTTAACAGAGCCATGTTAAGCTATCGATATTTAAGGCTTATCGATTGTGAGCGTGCGATGTTTTCAGTTATCGCAAAGTTGTCGACAACAATGCCATATTCGTGTTAAACATTCTGCAAATTCTCGAAATTTTCGCGCATTGTCCTGCGAAAAATTATGAATTCGTATTGTTGGTGTTGAAAGGCATTTGTATAACTTCACGCAAACAGTTTGCAGAGGTATTTCATAGCAATTGAATCGCATATATTGCATATAGCAATTGCTCACAAAAAACATGGCGCCCACACCGTTGCCACTGGAGCAAATGCCCGGCGCTAATGCAGGCTATCTGCCAGCCGGTCAGGAAGGAGGACCACGCATTAACACCATGTCTATGTCGGTACTGATCGATTTCATCATACAGCGCACCTACCACGAGTTAATGGTTCTAGCTGAATTGTGAGTAGATTGTATTCCGTACAAACCGGCAATTAACTTGATTGTTTTGTCTACAGACTACCACGCAAGACGGACATGGAGCGAAAAGTGGAAATTTATGCGTATGCGGCACGTACAAGACATTTATTCACACGACTGAATGCGTTGGTCAAGTGGGGCAACTCGGTGTCCAAAGTGGACAAAAGCTCACAGATAATGAGCTTTCTGGATAAGCAGAATATGCTCTTTGTAGAGACGGCTGATATGCTGGCTCGGATGTCACGAGAGACGTTGGTGAGGGCACGTTTGCCCAACTTTCATATACCCGCTGCGGTTGAGGTCTTGACCACAGGCACCTACAATCGTCTGCCAACATGCATACGAGAACGTATTGTTCCACCGGATGCGATCACGCCGGCGGAAAAGAGGCAAACGTTGCTGCGTCTTAATCAAGTCATACAGCATCGTTTAGTTACTGGGAAACTGCTGCCACAAATGCGTGAATTCCGTATACGCAACGGACGCGTCACCTTCGAGGTGAAGCACGAGTTCAGTGTTGCCCTTACCGTCATGGGCGACAGTCCGACTGTGCCTTGGCGTTTGCTGGATATAGATGTGCTCGTGGAAGACAAGGAGACAGGCGGTAACTGACACGCTCAACAAAATTGTATGGTCATCTAAATCTTTTCACCCTCTTTGTAGATGGCAAATCGTTGGTGCATCCGCTGCAGGTCAACTACATACACCAATTGATACAGGCGCGTCTCGTAGAAAATCCGAATGCGTTGAGTGAGGTGTACAATTGTTTGCACTACTTTTGCCAGTCGTTACAGCTGGAGGTGCTCTATACGCAGACGCTGCGCTTGAACTATGAGCGGCTCGATGACAACAACATCAATGTTGAGGAGTATGTGCCAGGCGTTAAGCTTACGGTGTCCTATTGGCGTGATCTCAAGTCGGAGCTGGGCTACCGCCTCACTGTTCAATCGGATCCCAGTGAAATTGGTCGACCTCTGGTTGTTATTCATGTACCCTCGTTGGGTGCCAAGGAGTCCGCCGAGGTAGCTGATCGAGCTGTGCGTTCAGAACATCTCTCCATGGAGCGTTTGATAGTCCACACCGTTTATATACGATCCGTATCACGCTTAAGTGATCTCAAGCTCGAGTTTCAGGCTTTTCTCAAAGACGTTGACTGTGAGTGTAAATGTTCCCAGCTTCTTTAGCTATGACCTAAGGCAGTTAATAATATGTCCACCTATTTATAGTTAACTTGCAAGGCACTCCTGCGATTTTGACGGTTCCCGTGCTGTCGCCATGCTTGCGCGCTGAACAGATACATATAACCATTGATACGCACACGGGCATGTTCCGCTGTCACGTACCCAAACATTTGGATTGTCCTATTACTGATGAGATGCAGGAGAGTTTGAATACAGATCGAAGCAAATTGCCGGGATTGTTATCGGAGCTACGCTATTGGATTACTCATCGGCGATGCGAGAAAACATTGCAACACCTACCCGCTACGGCCACTGAAACCTTGCCTTTTCTTACTCAACCCGAACAGGAACTGTTGCAGTCGGGCCGGCACAAGATCTATGTCAAGCTGCATCGCCATCCGAATATAATTCTAGTAAGTGATGAAAAATCTCGAGAAACAAATTTTTAAATATTTTTTATTTATTTTAAGGTTGTTCAACTAAAAGAAAAGTCTGCTATGCCTAACGAAATGGAGTATACGTTCCATCTGGGCTTCGTAGTCTTTCAAAAGGATGAGAACGATGTCATAGATGACTCGGCCAAGCAGCTAGTTTCAATAGTTGCTCAACCGCCATCAGATGTACCCAAATTGTATACAAAGCTAATGCGTTTGATTGAATTTGACACCTTTGTAGCCACCCATGGACCCGGTACCGAGGTTGATGGTGAGTTCTGCTTGCATCGTTTACTTCAACATTTATAATTGTTTTGATATATCTTTAGCAGAGGTGTCACCGCATAAGCGCAAGTCGAATGGCGATATTCTCGCACCACCTGCCAAGCAGCAGAAAACCATTTTTCCTGCATATTTTATACCGGAGCTAGCGCATGTAGTGGCCATGTGTGATGAGAAGATACCATTCCTTAATCTAGCGCAAACTCTTTCTAAGTTCCGCATTCCGCATAGCGGATTGCAGGTGGAGGCAAATGCCACATCGTTGGTGTTAAAAATTCTGGCACTGCCCAAGCCAGGATCCAATCAGGCAGCGGGAGCGAATGGCGAACAGAAGACAACGACGGCGTCCAGTACATCGTCGGCATTGCCCAAAATAGAATCACATGTTTGGGACGATCTTATGCGGCGAGTTCTGTCAATTTCGGTGCGTTCGCAAACCAACAAGAACAGTCAGGTGCGCATCTGGGTGGTTGAGTTTGTGTTCTACAGCACGCCGCTGCAAAGTACCCACCAGAAGGAGCTCGGTAGTCGACGCACTGTCAATCTAACCTACGAGCAGGCCAACCATGATTTCTCCAAGACAGTCGAGGATCTACTTAACGATTGGTCTAAAATTGTTTACCTATACACACTCGTTTACGACTTTGCCGAGCAGCTACGCAACAGTTAGTATATATTATACCTAAAATAAGTTATATAGATATTTATATGGTTTTATATATCTCCACAGAGCGTCTTAGTCTTGGCGACATGCTGGTGGTAAAGTCCTACACCTACGCTAACTTGTTGATTGGCTATGGACCCAAAAAGGAGGTCACCTGCAATATTTATTGGTCTGTGCAGTCTCATGGCTTTCGATTGACCTTCGTGGGTGGCATCTCAGCTGTGAATGCGCACTCCATGATGCGTGACCAACTGGCGCAGCATCTAAATCAACAGCACAGCCTCACGACCATCGCTCATATACTGCATGAGACCTATAATCCGATGAGTTCCATAGCCAAGCTGCCTGTGCTGCCGTTGCTGGGCATTCCGGTTAGCTATAGATATAAATGATTATATACAGCTTTAAAACATTTTTGTATTTACAGCGTCCGCAGGTGCCCGTGCTATCGTTCTGCATGCTGCCACAGTCGCCTTGCTTAATGCGTTTGACCTATCAGGCTGTTTACTGTCTGGAGTTGCGCTTCCGTGCTAATCGACTTGTATCCATTCGCGATGGCGCCAGCAGCCGCTTTGAGCGTAATGTCATCGAGGAGTTTACGCCCATACAGGGCCTTAAGGCGTTCCTCTCCAAGTACGTGGATGAGTCGGCTGTGTATAGGGGACGTGCACCACATGATGACGACAACCCGCTGTCCCCCATGGGTCTGGAGGATAACTTCGGTGGTCCGAACAGCGTGGCGGGAGTGAGTGCAGGCGGCTCCTCACCTTTCTTGAGCGCTGGCATGCGTGGCCCACAGTCGCCACGAGATAGTGGTCTTCGCTTTCCAGCACCACATACACCACCATCCAGCTCCAATCCGCATACACCAGCGAGTCCGCATCCCAGCTCAAGCGGTGGCGGCGCCAGCGGAGCTCAGAGTCATGCGAATTTTAATTTGACATCGCCACCAGCACCGCATATGCCGCATCCGTCTCCGGGGGGGTTGATGCCCTCATCACCACTAAATCCGCAGCCCAGTCCGCACATGGTGCACAGTCCGGGACCGAACACTTTGTATATGCAAAGCCATCAGGATTCACCTTTCACAGCCATGTCGCCGGCAAATAATAATTGGCCTGGATCGCCGAGCATGCCGCGTCCCTCACCCCGACCTGGACAGAGTCCAGAGCACAAGAGCACGGGTGGTGGCGGCCCAGGTGTGGGCGTAAGTGGTGCCGATCGCAGTGGTACGAGAGGTACTCTGAACCGGCCATGGGCCGGGGCTGTACCCACGTTGCTGACACATGAGGCACTGGAGACGTTGTGCCGACCCAGTCCGCATCCCAATAAGGATATCAACGTGGCCGATATGAGTCCCCTTGAACGGTTCTTAGGCTGTGTCTACATGCGCCGTCAGCTGCATCGAAACATCCAAAGCGAGGAGACATTGACGGCGCTCAACTCTACGGAGCCAGGCGTAGTTCTCTTCAAGGTGGATGGCTTGCAGTGTCAAGTGATGCTCAATCAACTGCATATGCAATCGCTGCATCTCAAGGTCACCCAACTGCCGCCCATGCCAGATAAGCCCACTTTCCAGCTTAGTCCCGACGACCTGCTGGTTATCGAGCAGTTCTTCGACACACGAGTGGCTGCGCCGCCTTATCGACCCAATTCACTGCACAGCATTTGCCGACTATTGAATCTCCCCGGTCATGTGCTCAAGGATTTCGTGCAGATCATGCGACTGGAGCTGAAACCCGAACTGGGAGGCGATCAACTTAAGTGGACCGTGCAGATGTGCATGCGCATGTCGCCATCGGCCATGCCAATTGTGCCCATTGGCAATGCCTGCGTAGTGTTGGGTCGTATGAAGATCCTGTTCTTCTTGCACATCACACGCATACCGTACAACGGCAAGGACTGGAAGGATAGCCCTTCATTGGTGCTGCCCATTGTTCACGACATAGCCTCAAATCTAACGCAAGTGGCGGAGAGACGCGAACAGGTGCAATCCCCTTTGATGGCTGCGGCTAGCACCTTGCTGCGTGGCTTCGCTGACTATGGAGTGCAACAGAATCGGTGCTCGCTCTTTCCAGCCATCACGGAGCTGCTCACAAATCTGGCAGTGGATCAACCAGCGCCTCCGCCCAACCAGGCCATCGGCCCGCCTGTGGGCCTTGGCGGCGTTGTTGGGGTAGGCGTGGGCGTGGGTGTAGGCGTTGGCGTGGGCGTAGTCGGCGCTAGCCCAAACACAATGATGCCAATGCAGCAGTTGCAGCCACAGGTCGGACATGGGCCCCAGCTTGGCCCGAATCCGGGTGGTCCGCAGTGATGAAGGCGCAAGCGCCGCGCCTCCTCGCAGCAGCCGTGAGGCGGAGTCCAAGGCGCAATTGCGACCAGCACACATGACCACGTGAAATTCCCAACTATCATTCATTTATTTATTGTTTAAAATACGAGAACAGTTTTCAACATTCACTTGCGTCGATACGAGACGGGAGTCAAGATCAAAACCCAGATCCAGATTGAACTATATAAAAATCTAGTATGCAGCATACGCAATACAATACGCAATTATTGTACAAAAGAAATGCACTAAGTACATGTAATAAATCACTAACTAACTGTAAAGCTAACTACTCTAATCGTTAGAGCTCTTGCCTGATTGTTTTTGTTTTGTTTATATCATTTATCACATGGGTTGGCCGAGTGAGTGCGTGCACCGAGGTTAGTAAATATGGTTGCTGTTTGCTTGTATATCTTATGTACCCTTGCTGAGATAGAGTGGAACCTTATGGAAACCGAGTTCACGTGCATAAGCGGCAAAAAGGTGGAAAAACTCTTAGGAATGTATCGTAAGTTCGCTTTGGGCTTATTCTGACGGATCTTTGTTAGAATTGACGACTGAATGGACTGAAGTAGTCAACAAGATTTTGTAAGCCAACGGATGGAAAGTAATTACAGTAATTATATAAAATCAAAGTCAAAGCTAGATTTTCTTAATGTTAACTATGTTTGTAGGCTCCGATCTTAAAGCAAGAGTATTCGAAATACGGCTAAGCCGAATTTAGATACTTTTCAACGTGTTTAACTTTTTGCGTTGTTTTTTTTTGGCTTGAATGCTGCTGCGGTACCGATGCTTCCAGCTGTTGCAATTCACTGCTGCGCCACGATTTGCGTGTTGTCCATCTCGGTCAGCTCGGCGATGCCCTCCTCCTCCTCTGAGATGAGATCGACCCAGTAGCGCAGACGTTTGCTGCGCAAATAGCTGGCCGAGTTGTCAAAGACAACGGTGTCTAAATAGAAAGAGAAAACATTTAACGTCTATATATACATATATAGTATATGTATGAAGTCAACTGACATGTGGTATTGGGTCTTGTGGAGATGAAGCCCGCCTCGTCCATTTCGTTGGAGTAGACGGTGCCCAGCGGCACTTCGCTGCGCTTTTCGCCTGTCTTCTCGTCCACGCTGAAAATTCCAAACTTGATGTCATAGTCGAAGGTGCGGAAGTTCCACGAGAGCAGCTGCTCCTCCTGCTGCGCCTTCACCGTAAAGTTCAGCTTGAGCTTGTCTCCCTTTGGCACTTGGGTTTCCGTGAAGCTCTTGTCGCTCTGCTGGCTGTTCTGATCTACGAACAGCTCCTCCGGCAGCTTGCCACCCCACACCATCAACGACTTGCACTGCGGGTCCCCCAGTTTGTCCACCAGCTGACCGCCCCAGCCCTTGGGGAAGTTCTTGGGTTCAACGAGTGAGAACAGCGACTCCTGCCACTTGTCCACGCCGGACTTGTAGATGTGAATCTTGCTGGTGGTATTCTCATCCAGGAACTTCTTAACTATATTAAAGGCCACCGAGAAGAGCTTTGGCGCATTGATGATGTAGCACATTTTGAGCAGCTCTGGGAAGTTGGCCTCGTACTGCTTCACCGACGAGATGACGCACTCGGCTGCTGGCCGCCAGGCATACTGCTTCAGGTTCATTGATTCGCAGTCCAGGAAGACGACCAGCTGACGTGCCTTCCAGCCATGCTTCAGGCTCTGCTCGTAAGCGAGCTTCATGAAGCGCTCCAGCAGCAGCACCAAATACTTTTGGAACTCAAAGCGAGTCACGCAGTGCATCATGCCATAAATGTCAAAGTTGTAGAACGGACAAACGATCACTAATGAGAGTGCGAAACACAGAGAGCAGAGAGAAAGAGAGAGGTGAGATAAGTGGCAGCTATATTAGAAGTAGCCTAGCTCAAGTACCTGGAGATCCCTCCTTGTCATAGCCCATGATGCCATAGGGCAGATATTCACGCAGCGCCTGCGGAGCTTCCCATTTTTCTATGTTGTCCACATTCCACATGGCGCGTGTTTTGAGGGACTGTGTGGGAACAAAGAAGATTGAGGATCATTGCTTAATACATATATGAAGAGACGTAATTAGATCAGTGATCAGTATATCAAGTAGATCAGTATTTTGATTATATTTCAAGATCAGATCAGGAAGTAACAAAGGTATATCAAAACGACCTACCGCTTTAAGCATTTTCTCTGCTGCATCCACATTCCATTTGCGCGCTATAAGTGAGAGAGAAAGAGAGAGGTCGGTTTAAAGTTATTTCTTTTGAACACCTGTAACCCACCTCGCAGCCAGCGTAGTAGAAAATAGTCATCATGCGTCTCGTTCAGCTCGGGGCTCATCAGCTTGCGGAACTGCAACAAGTGCAACAAATCAGTTAATATGATAGCTAAATCTAAAGCCAGACCACCTTGAATAAGGCCGATACCTGTTGACAGTGTGCTCAAACATGAGTAATACTGAGATACGATAACCTGCCTTAAACTTAACTCTAATTAGCTGATAAGTATGCCTTCGTTATTCTACAGTGTAGGCCATGACACATGTCCTTTGCCTCCAATAAATTGGAAATAGTCTTGGAACCTTAATTAATTCTTTTCCACAGTTGGTCACAAATGTTAGTCTGGGCGTATAGCGTTAGTCAGGTGACTGCAGCTGGGCGTAGCTCTGCGTATGAATCAAGCCCCAAACATACTCTTCACTTGGCCTTAATAACTGTTAATTTCCAGTGGAATCAGTGGCATATTTAATTTTCGCTCGAATGCCAATTCTAATACTCTGTATAATCAATAGAGTGGGGTATATATTGCAGTGATTGCTGAGCAGCTTAAGATTTGCTTCGTACTCTTCTAGTGCGTTTAGTGGTGTAAGGCTCGCTTCATTTGACGTCTAATTAGAAACGACTAGCAAATATGTTATATAAAATAGAAAGCGTATTTGCTCGTCGTGCCAGAAGGTCAGCTGTTCAAGGTTTTGATTAATTGTTTTGTGTGTTTCAAGTTCAATCGAAGAGTCGCTCGCATCGAATGAAGTGAAAAGTTTTCAATTTCAATGAAATTCAATAAATAAATAATTTGATAAAATTAAGCTGCAACTCGCCAATGCTTATGTGAGATGTAATCGGCATGGAGCAACGTGTTTCGATTGTTTAATTGGGCGTTGCACTAAACTGCCAAAATAGCCAAGCTTGGCTAAAGGCTGTTTGCTTGACTCGGACTCACATTGGGCTTGGAGCTCGCCTAACTTGGCTAAGTTGCGTTTAGACCACACTTGAAATTCAATAACGAGGCCAAATGCCAGTTTTTTTGAGTGGATTTCGTTTCTGTTTTCGTTTTTATTTTTGTTTTGGCTTGAACTGCAGGCCAAGCGGCGCGCGGCTTCTTGAAGTCGTAACATGATTTTCATTTGAATGGAAGCGGCTAGGGGCAGAGGGGGCGGCAGTCATTTGGCTTGGTTTTCATTAGCGTTAAGCATTTTTGGCCAACTTCCTCATAACTCAGCCGCCTTGCAGCTGCCTGTTGCTCATTTTGCTTTGTTCTTGTTTTTCTACCAAAGCCGAAAACTTGGCCAAATCTCTCAACAGTTTGCAGTCAAATAAAACAAGTTAGTTGTAAAAATGCTAAGAAATCTTTAAAAGGCTTTGGCAGCTGCTCGCTGAGGTGTTGATTGTTTACTTGGCTGATCGCATCGACATTTAAGGTCTAATTGGAATGGGTGAGAAAAATAATAGGAATTCAATTAGAATTTCTATTTTTGCTGTATATACCTGTATAGGAATGCAAATTAGGTACATTTATGTACACAAAATCTAAATAAAGGGGATTTACAACTGTCGCCTTAACTCTTTAGAGGGTATCTTTTGGCAAATCAGTCACTTTATTCCGTTTCTCCTTCGGCTTACAGAGTATCTTTCAGTCAAGCAGTCCGCTAACTAACTTACCTATTTGTTAGCAACTGCGAACTTAACTAAGCTAGCAAAGCCCTTGACTTGGCTGGCCTTTTGGCCATTCGCTCAGCTCTTGGGGCTTAATCAAATATTGAAAGTATTCGCTTGACTATTTGGCTCAGTGGGACTTTCCACGCTGAGTAAACCAGTTGTTGAAAGCGTGTGGCTGTGAGAGTGAGAGAGCGAACGACTAGAGATACGCCTTAGCTGCCAACTTCTAATGTGATCTTTGCCAAGCGTTCTATACTTTACTTTACTTAATACCAATATGCCTCATTTCATTCACAATGCTTACAGGGTATAGCAAAAGCAGAACTCATTAGCATGTTGTTGGCATGACATATTTATAAATACATCTATATATACACAGTCTATATATACACATAATCGTTCAGTTATGTTGATTACTTCGTACTTGGCCAAAGGGTCGCAATCAGAGATCGTTTTACGCTGCTTTGAGATAAGTTAATGGCAATTTATAATTGCGCTCGCTCTGCCTTGAACTGGTATTTCTAATTGTGGCACTTTAAGCAGTTTAAGATAGCAACAGGAGGTAGAGGCAGGGTCTAAGGCGAGCTTCCAGTGCTAATAAACATCTGCAGTCGCAGCAGCAAATGGATGCAATAGCTCATTTAGTGGGTCACACTTCATTTTTACTTTTGGACTTTAGTCGTTTGACCATTTTTGGTTTATTTGCTCACAGTTGGTGGGCGTGGCAGAGGCTGGCTATGCAGATTTGTTGCCCAGTTGGAGCTGAGAACAACGTCAACAAAGCGCAACAGCTGCACATGTTGCCGGCCGAACGTCGCACAGTGGGCCACAGTATATGCAAAAGTGGACATTGTATATGGCTGTGTTCTATATGCTGTCACGCTCCATTGATTAGCACATGTTGACTCAAAGCTCTAAGCGCATTTAAATGCGCAATTTATCATATTCGCAAGGCCAAAGAAACCCAAGGAAGTCATGATAAAAAACAAGGTATATAGACATTTATATATACAATATTTTTTTGCATGCAGTTAAATGTGTGCTTAGTTATTTCGCAATGTAATGAAAACGGTTAAACCGGTTAACTTCTAAGTTATTCCAACTAAAATGAAATATTTATTATGCACGTTATCATCGTGTACGCCCACTCAAAAGCCTAGCTTCTGCCCCAGTGTATGGGCTACTACTACACACACTCATACATATATAAAGAGAGAGAGGGAGAGAGTGTATGTAAATATAAGAGAGAGTGTGAAGATGCGTTAAGCGCTCTCACCTGTTCCAATGTTTTGCGCTGCTCGGCGCTGATTTCAGGCAGTGGACCAGACATTTTATATATATATATATATCTGATTATTTTACCAAAAGCTGTTATATTATTGCCAATTTAATATGTTATGCACACACACACACAGAGTCGAATTTCGTTATCTCTTTTTGATGAAGCGTCGTTATTTCACTTTTTGGCTGTTGTTTGCTTAAATAATATAACAATAAAAACTTTCTACACTTGTGTATGTTTTGTTGTTGTTGTTGCTGTCGATTTGGGCAGCCTGTTGCATATTTCAAGCGCAATTATTTAGTATTCAGCTTTAGTTGACCCTCATCTAGGCTGGGCTAATTACAACAATTATACAAAACAAAACAACAGTCACAGTCACAGTTACACGCACTACGTAAATACAATAAGAAACACGGCGTCACTTTTTGTTTGTTTTTGTTTCTGAACTACCACCGGAACTGTAGCGAACGGAACTAAAATTTACCCCCAATGCGATGCGCCTGACGAACGACAACTAACTGAACACCAATGCGAAGCGGACTTGCTTCTTAAAATGCGCTCAATTCCGCGCTCTTTGCCCACTAGTCGAAGAGAGCGAGCAGAAGCGACGACAAGATGTTTACGTACTTGAGCACTCAGCTGTTGCGTGCGTGCTCTCTCTTTATCATTCCAGTGGGTGCTTTGAATTTGAATCCATATAATCCATAAAATATACAAATAGAAGTCGCATAGATTGAACGGCGGCTCGAAGCAAATGTTCTTTTGCACTCAGATATTGCTCATGTGCACTCTCTTACTATTGCGGTTTCACTTATACAAATAGAAGCGCCAGCTGGAAGTTAACGTTCTTCTGCTACATTATGTGCTCTTCCCTTCTCTCTCTCCATCTATATTTAAATTGCATTGCTGCAGTGCAACCAATCTGTTTTGAATTTAAATTAATGTAATGCATATAGAAATATACTTACTAAACTCTGATGGTTTCATCGCTAAATTTATTAGTGTTCAATGCATATTTTATTGGATCAGCAATAATTTGACATTTTATCAGCGACGATTGCAGTTTATGGCGGGTGTTTTTTAATTCTGCTTGGCTTTGCTGTGCGCTATATTTTAATGGCTGTTGTTTTTTGCGTATTTTACCGTTTCGAGTGTTTTTGGCATACAAGCGAGCGATAAGATAATATAAGAGTTTATTTCAAATCTGATCAACAAAAGTACCTTGACCTATTCTTTGTTGTATGAATGGCTTGTTTTAGCTGATACATTAAAAACAGAGTATTGAGATTCGTTTTCTAAGTATTAAATAACATTTTGATAAGTATGCAACGTTTATTTAAATTTGCTTTCTAAATAACAATGTAAATGAATACTGGATGGCGCTTAAATAAGGAAACTGTTGGTAAGTATGCAATATTTATTTAAATTCGTATTCTAAATGTTAATGAATATCAATACTAGATGGCGCTGAACATACAGTAAGCAATTTTTCGATGTGAACACTAGATAGCGCTGTTCAATCACAGCAGCAGAACCTGCTGCTTTAGAACGCCGTACAACAGATGGCGCTATTTAAGGATGTAATGATTTAAGTTATATCTATAGCATTATAGGGATATATGATATCTGCTTCGATTGCATAAAATGGCACATTTTGAGAAAACATATTGAACCGTGGATTGCATGGCTATAGTCTTTAGCACCACGAAGACGTTTAGTTTATGTTATGCCAAAGAGTTTTTTTGTTTCTTTTTGAATAAAACTTGGTGTTATGCAATCTTTAGCGAATGCTAAATAAATATTCGAGTGTACACAGAGTGTGCTTATTTTTAGTATAACTGAACTAACAACTTGTTCTGCCTGACTGATTAATTTGTTCTCTGGCCTCAATATATCCTGTGGCTAAGCGCAGCAATCGACGCCTAAATTGTATTGCCAATTACAATAGTATTTTAATAATCATTTCCATTCAATTTGATGGGCTCACCTGCTTCAGCCGCCGAGGCGAGTGCTCTGCCTCCGCCTTTGGTCAGCCTCCCCATTCCTAGCCCAATCGATTTTCGCTTTGGCTGCATGTGGAATCGCTTATTCGCACTTCAGTAGGAGAATTTACTACTTTTGCGTCACAGTGAGAAGTGCCGAAACTAAATAATTCAAAAAGTATATATATTGAATAATATGTTTATGAAAACAAACAATAGTCGGACAGAGATGCCAACACATGATGAGCGTAAAATTTTATGAAGTTGCTGAAATTTCCAACTGCCCATTAAGAAAATTGCGAAAATTGAAATCTGTAGCCAAAAGGCAGCGAGACAAAGACAAACACAGAGCGGGACTGAGGGAGCGGGGACGCTGGCGCTGGGACAGATGTGCTGAATTTACCTTGGCTTAAAAACATAATCGAAATTTGTTGTGAGAGATTTACATAGCAATAATAGCAGGGAATACATACATGTTTCAGCACGATGTTGTTTTTCGCAAGGCATCAATGAAAGCCACAAGAAAAACAAACTCAAACAGCCCAATCGGCCCATCGATGGGCCAGAGTTGAGTGCTGAGCAGGTAAATCAACACCTGCAGCACATTGAATTCTTAAGCATAATATCGACTGATTTCTCGATAAGTTTAGGGCGATTTGCTGTTAATTTGGCATAAACTACAACATGGCTTATTGATTGCCATGCTACAAGGGGCGGGGGCTGCGAAATTTATCTGCGCACAGTTTGTCAGTTGCGTATTTTTGGTAGTTTCTCCATTCGGCGTGGGCGTGTACGAAAAAACAAGGCGCAATTCGCGCCGTACACGCTAAGCACTGGCGAATAAATAAGCTGCCAGACAGAATACAATAAAGTTGCCCATTCCCCCTATCAGCCATTGCCCCTGCCCCTGCCACTGCCACTGCCACCGCCACCACCAGCGCCCCTCCCCGCCCATGGCGCTGCTCCCTCTCCCTCGCCGATCAGTCAATCAACCAACAGCTCGCAGCTACTTTTAGCGCTTTGCACTTGAAATGGCCAACAAACACACAAACAGAAAAAACTGTCGACCACCCGCAGATCTCCACGATTCAGACACGCAAGGGCAGTGCAGGGAAGTGGGCGCAGCGGGGCGGGGTGGGCGCTAGAGGATCTGCAAAGGATCTACGTCATGTGCCAATCGATGATGCAGTGCGGCGTCCAAAGCGATGCAAAATACGCAAAAAATTCAACACAAATAAAGCATCGCCCACGATCTGCTGGTGCTTGCCTCATGACGCGCCACGCATTTCGACTGTGACTGCCCCACGTGACGTCACAGTCGCAGCATCACAGCCAGCCGCGTGTGCACCCCCGTCCAGGCGGAACTGTGGATCTAGTTAGTTATGGCTCCTAGCGGGTACTATGCTACAGTCAAGGGATGTGGCATGCATGGATGACAGATAGCTCTGATAGCAGATCTTGACCTCCTCTGACAGAGGAATAAATTTCCTCTAGCTTATTCACTTTACAATCAATTCATATCGAAACTGCTATGGGACTACTCTTGAGTATTCTTGGAACAATCCCATCTACAAGTATGCAAGTCACATGTTATTACATCTATATCAATGAAGTTTGAAAGGTTTCTCCAGGGATTTAGGTAGACACATATTTGATAGATATTCCTGACAAAGGAGTATGCAGTCTCCTCTCTTTATGCCCTATCAGTGTCAACTGCTCTAAAACTACTCTTAACTAGTCTTGCAATAATTCCATACATATCCAGCAAGTCTCATATCTATCTGCAAGGGCAAGGAACAGATAGATAGATAGATCTTTGAAAGCTGTTCTTGATTTGTTTGGAAGGTCTCTCTGCATATTCCCTTGTCTAATCACCCTTGCTCATCAATTCCTATTGCCATCATCTCAAGAGCTCTCGAGCTACTCGGAGTTTCCAATCAAGTCCCATCAGTCAGCTGGCAGGGTATACAGTCTTCGGCTACCTGGCAAATCGTTCATTTTTCATTTTATTTGCATTTCAATACTTTTTGCCAGCTCTGAGAAAATCGGAGTCTATTTTTGGTCGATTGCACGAGTTTATATTCGACATAAACAAACAGAAAAGAAACAAATGCGAATGTGAATTAAACAAGTGAATAGAACAGCTCACTTAATAATATGCTATAGTTGTCTCTATGACGAGAGTCCTACATACACCCTCTATATATATATCCCATGCAGACCTGTATATCTGTGTGTCCGGGGCTGGGTGTGTGCGTAGCACGCACGGTCTGAGTGCTCCAGTTCAGCTGGGGTCTTCACATGCTTCCGAATAGTCAAAGGCCGATATTAATCAATATTGCTAAATGATGGGCAATTAGTTGGCTAACGTGAATGGCTAAGTGTGAGTCGTACTTCGCGCGAATCAACAATTTGCCGAAAGATATTTTAGACTGAACGAACTGAACTTGCGTCTGTTTGGTTCCCAGAACTCAGGTTATGCTGGAAGAATGATTTTCACGAATTAAGGAATTCTGAAGGTGATCTATAATCGAGGTGGGCCACAAGATAACAGAACAGCAGAGAAGTAAACAGCCTGACAGACATGACATAGATCAAAAGAGGAATGAACTTTCCCTGATTGTGCAGATAGTAGAATACATATTTGATATGCTATATGACTTAATATATATATATATAGGAATCAAGTACATGGCATTAGAACATTACGCAGATACCTTAAAACAAAGTGTTTTCAGTCCAAGTTACTTTGCTACTAAAAAGTTTTAAACACAGACTCAATTAGTCAAATCTAAACATTAAATTCATGGGAAATCTCATTAAGCTTTTCCTTCTAATAGGCTTATGTCCATTTAGAGTGGACCAATGGTCGCTGTGTTACCTATAAGATGTAGTTGAGGTCCAGGCGAGTCCATTCCCAAGTATAAAACACTCAAGCACCTTCTGATCAGCATTCCTTACTGACTCATCACTTGTCTTTGCTTTCATCTTCTGCTCCATCTTCTTCCTTCTTCCATCTGCCATCTTCTATCTTTATCCTTTTGACTCTTCATTTCTGTTTGCTTTAATGGCATTCGAATGGCCAAGGTGAGTCATGAGTGACCTCGCTTCCCAACTGCCTGACAGCCTCTCTATCATGAAATTCCTTTGGCAAGAAATTTGACATTTCGCTGAAGCTGACAGAAACACACAGGAGCAGCACGTGTCCTTGCATGCTAGCATGGGATCTACACTTTGTCACCCGTTCCAATTTCCACTCGCATCGCCCTATTCATTTCAGTTCCCCGCCAGATTTCCTTTTACTAAACTGTGGCACAGCCCTTGCCTTTGCCCTTGCCTTTGTCCCTGCCCACGCGCTCGCCCTTGCTCTTGCTTTAGACTTCAACTTGCAACATCATGATGTGCGTGCAGTTGCGCCTAATCCGCGTTTTAGTCGTTTATCCTGCCCAGACACAGGGACACGCAGAGCTGGAGCCGGAGCTGGAGCTGGAGTCAATGCCTGACACAGGCGGAAACTGTTGCTGTCTGTGG